GGAGGAGGGAGGAGGGGGTTGCGGAAAGGGAGACGGAGGGGTTGGATATGGGTAGATGAAGAGGGATGAAAGAGGAGGGAGATGGGATGAAAAAGAGCAGGGAAGTATTTCATGGAGGAGGGGTTTGAGGGATGAACGGAAGCAACTTATGAATTATCTGCCAATGGTTAACACAACGTGACAGGTTCATGATCTGAAGCAGGCGGAAAGTTTGCCTGATATTTTGAGGATCATTATGATACCAAAAAAAGGATTATTTGTCGTAATTGCAAGCAAAAACAGGACCTCCAGTCTCATGCAAGCTCTACGACAAGAGCCTTCACGCTATGTCTTCACTGTGCTGTTTGTGTTTCTTCAGATTGTCAATCGTGCTGACGGGCTGGGCGAGACAGTGACTTTGGGTAACACCAGATCAACTCACGTACAATCAGCTTTTACCGCACCACTTAACGTTGTAGATCACTCGATCAGGGTTTGCAGAAAGCCGCTTGCTGATGGCAAGGTCAAGTGTCGAAGTGTATCTTTCGGGAGCCTCCGCCTCAAGGCAAAGAGCGAGCCTGTGAGCAACGAGATCGATGAGTTGAATCGCCGCATCGAAGAAAAGCAGAACCAGCTCAGACGAGAAAGGGAGGAGGCGAGGAAGCGGAAGGAGGAGAGGAGAATGGCGCAGCTTCAGAACTATCTCGGCAAGCCGAACTCGGATGTGCCGACGGGAGGGAAAAGGATTATTGCCCCGAAGGAACTTGAAATTCTAGATCGATCGAGGGAGCTCTGGAGTTCACTGCCATTTGCACTGCGTTCTTCCCTGGAGATGCAAACTTTGCTGGGACAAGGATCGTTTGGAATGGTGCTCAAGGCGAGGGTGTTACGGGAAGCTGATGGACGTGTCAATGCACTCCCTGGGATTTCAGACGAAGACGAATTTGTGGCAGTCAAGCTGATGAAGTCGAGGAAGGGCGAGGAGCCGATTCTCATGCGAGAAGGTCTTATCTTGTCCCTGATCGACAGCCCGCACGTTCCTCGGGCGAGTATCCCTCTTGGCTTCGTTGGTCATCGTGACTCTTGCTTCCTCAGTGTTTCGATCATGGGCTGAGCAATGGAGTCTGCTATGTAGTCATGCAGTATGTCGATGGCGTCAGCCTGGACGAGCTGATCGAGCAGGAAGGAGCTCTTGAGAGCACCGAGGCCATTCGCGTATGTGGGTGACCAGCAGCACCAGCTCTGACACCCCGAGTTCAGGTAGCCCAGGACCTCATACGGGCCTTGAACTCGATTCACTCGGCAGGTTTCATCTACCGTGACTTGAAGCCTCAGGTTTCCTCGCATGCTGTCCCTTGCCCGTCATGTCATGACTTGCGTTGTCATGCAGAATGTCATTCGGAGCGCACAGGGCGGGAAGACAGTCTATCGCCTCATCGACTTTGGGTCCGCGACAGGAGCACAAGGTGGGTGGGAGTGTGATGCTTGCCGCCGGCTGAGACTGAAATTTTCTCAGGCTGTCTCTTTGGTAAATGGACCAACACCAACGATGAGTCGGTGAGTGGATGGAGCAGTTGAGGCAGACCACTGATCGTGTAGGGGGTTTGCACCCTTGAGACGTACGGAGAGGACACAATGAGAAAGATCAAGAGTGTCTTCGAATCCATGGTCGTGCTCATCTTAACGTGCTTCCATGGTGACGTTGAAGCTGCAGGATCGTAGGAAGGTCGGAGTCATCTCCAGCGGTGACGTGGCCCAGGTAGGCTGCATCGCTTGTTGGAGAGTCTTGTGAGGTAGGAGGTCAGTGCTTCCGGGCTGTCGGCGTGCGCCCGTCGGAGGAACAGATTCTTCGGATGATTGCGAAATATGACGTGAACGGGGATCGTCTGATCTCGCTGGTGAACGTGTTCGGCGATGTGTGCTGTGGTGGCTCATGGTCGCTGCAGGAAGAGTTTTATGACATGTTTGGCGAGCTTGTCGCAGAGCAAGGTGATTGTAAATCCATCGCCGGAGGCGTCAGAGGGAGGGAGGGAGGGAGGGAGGGAGGGCGGGAGGGATGGGGGGAGAAGACAAGTGCAGAGGAGATCTGTAGGGGAGGAGGGTGACGGAAATGAGGTGGAGGAGGGAGGAAGAGCCATCCAGTGATTCTCACGCTCTAGTGCAGACTCAGCGTTTCCGGCCGGCACGTACGCTTACATGTCGCCCGAGCAGCTTCTGTGCGATTCAAGCTCTCGGTCTGTCTCTACGGACTTCTACTCCCTCGGTGATGACGTCAGCTTCTCCATCGACTGTCGCTGACGGCACGTCCAGGCGTTCTCATGTACAAGGTGCTCACGGGTAAGAGCTGACAGTGCGGGGCTCTGAGTTTGACTCTGACGCTCCAACAAGGGAAGCTTCCCTATAGCGTCGACAAGGACCTGACATGGAAACCTGGGGCTGCGGGAGACTTCAACAATGAGCGAGGGATGTGGGAGAAGCTGATGAGGGGGGCGGCCGGGGCAGAGCCCCCAACTCCTAGCAAGGAGAACCCAAATGTTCCAGCTCGCCTATGCCAGGTACATGCGCTCCTCCTCATGGAACTTGCAACAGTGCTTTCTGCTCATCTTGCGCCTGCTCCTGCTCCTGCTCCTGCTGATTATAGTTTCGATGTTTGTACGCAGGTAATCTGCCGCTGTCTCCAACATGACCCGAAGGAGCGATACTCGTGCCTGTCAGACATGAGCAAGGAACTCAAAGCAATCGAGTCGGTCACACGAAGTGAAGAGAAGTCTAACGCTTGATGCTGAGAGATGCTCGGTCATCTTAGATTCACATGAAGTTTGTCGGTTGAGGTTTGAGATACGTGTGTGCAAACTATTTACCATCCTCCTGTTTAACCTGAAAATTTGGCTGTCATCTTCATTGCTTATTTCCTCGCAATCCAAAGCCTCCACCATTTCGTCTGTTCTCTCGATACTGCTGCTTGTAGATTGTTTTGCTTACCTCAACTCCTGTCTTATCGATATCTCTACTGCATCAAAAAATCTTGACAGAAATTCGAACCGCTCCTCAAGAGCAAGGGAGGGGGAAGGAGAGGCAGTGAAGGTTCAACACTGAACCGATGCTGCTTCCTTCTTGCTTCTGCCCCCTGCGGTTGACGCCTTGCGGGCGAATCCCAGGGTCTCTAACTGCTTCATCCTCTCCTGCAGCAGAGGACAAGGAGGAGGGCGAGGAGTTCAGGATGACAACGAGCGATGAGAGGAGAGGTCTGACCTCTGGCATTCGGCCCTGTCGAATTCGCTGCTTCTGGTTGATGACCCACTGGCCCAGCGTTGGGTTCTCCTTGCAGATGACGGGGACCTTTACGTGACCTGAAGGAGGGGAGGAGGAGGAAAGGAATATGAGGAGCAGAGATGAGATGAGGGGAGAGGAGGGGAGAAGGGGGGTCAGGTCAGGTCGAATCATCCAACCATCATCCTCCTTCACCATTCGCTTTCTTGAAGGACGCAAGATGGTTGAAGCGCTTGTTCCAGACTCTACCGCATCACGTCACCTCTCAAACCCTCGCCCTCATCCTCACGCACCGGCCGCGATTTCTCAGCACCACGCCCATGGCAAGCAACCTAGTTGAAGGGTCAACCTCCCCGGGGGCCGGGCCCTCAGTCACCTCTCAGCATGCGCCTTGCTGGTGTCTCTCTTCAGCTGAAACTTCTGATTGTATAACCAACGGCAGAGCGACTGCCTGTGGCCGGCGCGTCAGCAGCACATGGCAGTCTTGCCCTTACCCGCTCCCCCACCTCTCCTGCTTCTTCCAAGTAGTGCTCTCCTCCCTCCTCAGCAAGTCTAGGTGCCCAAAGGTCTGTTTGAACAAGCAGAGGGAGTTGTACTTCTGCTCCCACTCAGACTTGAACCTGCACACCTGCTCACACAAGGCAAGGACACGATCATGCTCGGACCTCTCGAAGACAATGCCGAGGCTTTCCAGCATCTCCTTCCTCTTGGGAGTGAGGCTGCCCTTCGCAGCGTACGCCTGCTGCTTCTCGACCCATCGGTGCACATTGTTCTTCCTCAGCTCATTGCTGACAGCGAGACTCTCTCCTCTCTTGCTTCCCGACGACACACACCCCATGTGCTGTTTGCAGAGCATGACAAGCGAGAAGTTCGTCTCCCACACCGCCCTCATCGGCTCCAGTGCCCCCAACCTCCACAGCCTCATCGATTGTCCGTGCTGCAGATCTCCTGTCCTCCACCTCTTCCGCTGCTCCATCAGCCAGACGTACAGAGAGCTGTCCTTGTACTTGAGCGATGCCAGCCTAAGACGACCGTGGGTGTCGACATGCTCCTGCAAGCTATGGTAGTGATCGTCCCACGACACATCCACGTCGGGAGGTCTGAGGCGCTCAGAGGGATGGGGCGTCTGCTGTTGAGAAGGCACGATGGCTGGGAGGAGGACTAGGATGGAGATCAGTCTTGCGCTGAAAGCCATGCTGGGGTTGCGGGATCGCGCATGAGCTGCTTCATAGAGCGACTCGAGCCCTCTTCATCCTCATGTCTTCATCTCCTCTACATCCCATGTACATCTCCTCTCCCCTCCTCTCCCTTCCCGCTCTTCTGATCGCACCTGCACCTCCCAGGCATTTTTCAGGATCGACTCGAAACTGGACCCCCAGTTTGTTGTGAACATCCACCACCCCTACATTGCATTAGGTACCCCCTGATTTTCCCTCAATTGTACCCCTCAAATTTATACAGGATAACCCTCCCACCCACACGGAAGGCGACCATGGCTGGGCAGGTAAGGGCGCAGCAGCAACAGAGTAGGGGAGGAGACAGCGGCGACGAGGGAGGAGGGAGGGAGGAGAAGGATGAGGCTGAAAGAGATGTCGAAGAGCATGTGCATGCATGATGAAGTCTCGTTGTCTGGAGGGAGGAGAGGGAGGAGGGAGGAGAAGGAGGAGGAGACAGGGAACGAAACGTGCTTCCAGCCTAGCGGCACGTGATGCTCATCCCGGCTGGCCTGTCAGTCTCGCACTTGAGTTGCAAGTTGTTCTCACGTCAAACTTCCCACTGCGCGTGTTGCTCTCATCACTTTGAGACGCTGCATCTCATCGAAGCGAGTTCTTGTTTTGTACGTTTGCCCTCAGCATATCGGGAGCATGCTGGCCCCGCCAGAGATCCCAGAACATGGCATGTCTGACCATGAGCTGCTGGTTCAGTTGACGTCGACATGCGGTTGAGGGTCTCGTGCACATGGATGAGCCAAGGGGATTCCAATCTTTATACGAGCATGGGACGAAGCAAGCGATACCCAGTGCTCTGAGCAGCATTCCTCTCCAATCCCCGTCAGGAAGATCAGCTGTAGGGGCAGGAGCAGGAGGAACAGGAGGAACAGGAGGAGGATGGATAGGCGATTCATCGATGCGGCGAAGTAGAGGAGCCATTGGCGACGACGAGGACTTCAACGTGGGGGCTGGGGCGGTGCGACGTTCTGTGTCGGGGCGAGACGTGAGTCACATCGCGTCCTCCATCTCCTCGTTGTGGAAGCTGCTGAGAGCATCATGGAGGTGATGAGTGGCTGGGAGGATGCAACTGGTTCATCTGACCGCCCAGCAGGTTCCTCCTGATTCTGACGGTCCTCTCCGTGCTGACCCCCGTCATGCTCTTCACGTCCCCATTCACCATCAGCTTCACGCAGGCACGCAGCCTCCACCTGCTCTCGTCTTCTGTGACATGCTCGTATCAGTTCCTGCTCGGCTGGGGCCTGGCGGCCGCCACGTGGGTCATCGTCAAGGTAGCTCGACCCCTCGGCACTGGGAGGCTTTTCATTCCCTCCTTGTGCAGTATCCTACGGACAAGGCGCAGGAGAGGATGGCGAGTGATAGGGTGCAGCCTGAGATGCATCTGGTGCGATCTGATGACTTCTCTGCACTGTCCTGACCCTCTGAACCTTAGGTCCTCGGCACGCTGCTCCCGGAGCTTGCAGGTCTTCGACACAAGGAGCTGGGGGCGGCGCTGACGGCGCTGTACAGTGAATCTCGAGAAGCTGCTGCTATGGTTGGATCTTGCCATGAGGTACCAGGAGGGTCGGCAGGGCCTCTTGACTGTTGAATGATTGATTCCCGTCGCCAGGGGCAGAAAGCTTCCCACGTACCTGCGATACCCAGTGCTGAACTTGGGTACCACTCCATCTCGAGCAGTAGATTCTTGCTCATAGCCCTGGCTCTTCCTTGCTTGCAGTCGCTTACATCACGGGCCCCCTGTGGTTCGCCTTGCTCATCATGGCCATGGTCTTCTTCCTGCTCGTCATCTCAGGTTTGCTAGCTCACCCTCTGCTGAGGTTGACTCGTCCCTGCTTCTGCTCCAGTCATCAGCTTCGGGCTCATGATCCCCTGGATCGCGCCCATCCTGGGACTGCTTCTCGGCTACGCCATGCTCGTGCCGGTTTGGGTAGTCTCGGTGTACATGCTCAGCCTGCTTCCGGTAACTTTGCATCTCTGCTCCTTTGCTCATCCCACTTCCCTTTTCCTTGTCACTCTCTCCTCTACGGAACTGAGAAGCACTTGCCAGCTCCTGATCTCTACATTCGTTGGATCGATTGCTGAGGTTTATTTGGTGAGTCAATGTGGGAAATCTTTGATGGATGCTGAGCATGTAAAAAACGCAGGCACATGCGGAATACAGGAAGCAGTACAGGGCGAGAAAGGTGAGGAGAGGGAGAAGGAGATCGTGAAGATGATCACAATGATGGGGATGGGAATCGAGATGGAGATGGAGACTAGGTCTTTGGATACGCGGATTGATGTCACCAAGGTTGATTGCATGTGTACTAATGGCGACCTTGCAGATGATCCGTTCAGAGGCGCAGGTAAAGACAAATGCTTCCTCTCTCGTCAACGGCCTTCTCTCCTCCTCGGCTCGTCTGTCTAGGCTCAAAATTTTCTTCAGGTCCCCGGACAAGCATTGCTTAGTCGGAGCGGAGCCACGACAAGGTCCATCCGAGCGCTGCTGACGAGGAGGAGATGATCTTTTCCTTCAGGCTGCCAGACTCCACATCACCTGCAGCCGCCGGAACGCAAAGGAATCCTTCACAGGTCTTGTTGTCTCCTGCTCCTGCCCCTCTTCCAACCTCTGCTCCTCCCCAGCACTGACCTGCCCCTGCTCCTGCCTGACTCCCTCAATCTTGCCCAGGGGGGTCAACCATGGCTAAGCAAGAAAGAACTCTTGCGGCTCTACCAGCAGGTCCGTGGGCTCTTAGTTGCCGTGCCGCTCACCTTCTTTCAGCGCGGCCTGCTCCCGACGCTCCCTGCTGTTCCAACCACGTCAGCCCCAACTTCAGCGCCAGGAGCACACCCGAGTTCCTTTGCAGCAGCCCACGGGTCTTCAAACTCGTGCTCTTCGAGGTACCTGAGCTCAGCCGGATCTCCTTACATGGTTCAGTTGACTTGATGTCTGGACAGACAGGCGGCAAGTGGCAGCGGCGAGTCGGAAGGTAATGATGATTGATCGACTTCGAACTTGACAGGCTACATGGACGTGGCCGCGGACAAGCTTCAGGTCTGACTGACTGCTTGCCTGGCAGAGCGTCGAGATGTTCGGAATGATCAGGAGAGTGAATCCTCGCCGCCGTCATGATCAAGAGGCCCAGTGGTTCCGATCATGTCGGATCACTGAGCCTGGCAGTCGAAGTGGGGCCGGGGGAGAGGCCCCGCTCGGCGAATTTGGGGCGCGGCCACTGACTCAGATATTCATGTACTAGTAAAGTGTCAGCGGCAGGCTGAGTGCATCATCATGCCATCATGGGCCCGGCGCAGCCGCGGCCCGGCGCGGCGGCCGCAACCCGGGCCCCGGTGACCCGGTTGAAAGTCACTCGGAGCCTTGAAGGCCGCTGAGCGGCCCGGCTCACCGGGGGCCTCAGTGACACTCACCGTTACGGTCATACCGTGCGGCGAGAAGAGAAGACGGTGAGTGCCTGGCACCGTGGCACGGTGTCATTTCCAGGGTTACTCAAAGTTAAGTTAAAAATCAGTACGAGGACAATCCAGGCTGTGCAGTGTACATGAGGGCGATGAAGCATTCAGGCTGTCACGGCAAGTGTTAAAAGGAGGTCCGGTGACTAACACTAGGGGGTGGGGTAGTATTGGGGTACTGCTAACTAGGTTTTACTGTTCCCTCGGCCTGCTAGGCCGGCCAAAGAGTCAGCTGTGGGGGTAGGGTGGGGGTAGGGGTAAATGGACATTAGGGGGTCCATCAACGTGGGGGTTAGGGTGGTGGCCCCGTTGTTTTTTTACTTTACTGGTTGTCCGGCCAAGGTGGCAGTCACGGCAGCTGGTCGCGGCTGAGCGGAAATTTTAAAACTCTAAAACTCTGATACATGTTTTATAATATAAAAGGCTGTGTCCGGTTATTTGGCTTGATTTGACTAGTCCATGTGAGCCGCCTCGGAACAAAGAAATAGTCTAGCAAAAGGACAGTAAACAAGAGAAATTCCGAGACTCCGACGATGCCCTCCAAAATTAGTTTTTTGGGATTTAACTTGAGCCTGGAAACGCAGTCGTTTCGAGCTTACAGGTCATGACTGCTTCGTAGTAAAGTCATCGACTCAATCTGTATGAATTCAAAAACGATACATTTCAAATAGGATAGAAGCAGGGATACGTAGCTGCACCCCCCGACAAGCTCCTTTGCAGTATTTCCTTGTTAGTATCAATCCATTAGTACCTCAATTATCATTTCTCTCCTCTCTCACCTCAACTCAATAGACAGCTCCCCTTCCCCCAATGTATCACTCAACACCCCACCCCCCTTTTGATAGGTTATAACCCTTATGACGATGGGGGTACAGTACATCCGGACCTCCGGTCGGTTGATCAAGGGACATATCTCGAGCGGGCAACTGTCAGCATAGTTCCACCCGAGCTCAAGCACAACGGTTCGGAGCACCGCAAGGAGAACTCCTGTCCAGTGGCCCCTTGCACCTCAGGCTCTTGAACTGCGCTTGCTCCTCCTCGCCCACGTGTTCCTCCTATTACACCAGCCTGTTGCTCCATATCACCTGTATTTAAACTTCCCCTCCTCTCATTTTGTTTCCAGCAAACTTCAATCCTCACCTTGTGTCTCCGCTTCCTTGCACTTCATCCTACTTGATCCCTCTGCACCTAGCATCAGGCTCCTACGACCTATCCATATCCCGACTCAGCACTTTGTTTCAACCCTGGTCAATCCCAGATCTCTTATCTTCAGCCATGACTACCGACGTCGCAAGGATTTTCCCACGGAGAAAGGCTGGTGAAACATCCATTTCTGCTAGCAAATCAGTTGTTACACTGTCAAAGAAGGACATCTCGATGATGTTTCATATGAAGCAAGGAGACGCAGCTAATATGCTGGTGAGCACTTCCCTGTTATCCTGTATCCGAACCTGACAGCCCTCCCTCTCCTTCTCAGGGTATTTCATTGACTGCCTTGAAGAAAGCTTGCCGAAGAGTTGGCATCGACAAGTGGCCTTACGTGAGAGCTACCCCGACGCTGCAGCTTGTTGCTCCATGCAAATCGGACGTCGATTCAATCCTTGCCTTCTTCCAGGATTCCACAAAGAACGGCATCCAAGCCGAAAGGCCAGAGATGCCAGCTCAACAAAGCGTGCATGCCGAGGAAGAGGAAGGCCATTGGCCTCGTTACCTGGTGGCTTGCTTCGATACGACTCTGCTTCTTGAGGAGGCTTTGAAACATGTTGAGTCATATTGATTCCCTGTCATTTTATCCCTCATAAGTGCTTGTCTTGCTGTAAATTTTCTTACCTTCAATGAATGAATGAATGATTGAATTGCGTCACACTACGTTCTTCGGCTTGAGTCCGGCGAGCAGTGTAGCTTTTGACGCATCAACTTGCCAATAGTGTCCTCCAGTCCAGTGGCATAAGAAGTATGATATTCAAGTATTCAATGCCTGACTGAGTTGCTGTGATGATAATAGCTCCGTGACTCGTGACCGTCTCATCCGGCGATCGGCCCACTCGCCAAGCCTGTGATTTCAGCCCGCCCGCGCGGCGGCGGCGGGCGGCTGCGTGCCGAATTCGCAGATCAGCTCGCGCGTGCAGGTGAACCTTACCGGTGGTAAAGTAGACATACTACCGATAGCCTGGAAACCTTGCCAAACAGGCTTCTTAGTTGAAAGGCGGGCAGCGAACCTCGTGACTGCCGGCCGTCCAGCCTTTCAGCGACGGCAGTGGATCATCTGGCCTCCGGGCCTTCGGAACGGTTCAGTTGCCAAGTTTTCAAGTTTTCAATTTTGGCATCTTGCGGCCTCACGCCTGTCATAGTCACTGAGTGTCACGACTTCGGTGATAACTTCAACGAAAGTTGATCACTGTCCGATACTACTATGATACGGTCACAAGTATCATCTGATCGGAGACAGAGTCTGATCACCTATTGTACTGCGGCCCGGCCGCCTGGCACGCCGTGACGTGATTAGTGACTCAGTCACTGAGGAGTCCACAGGGGTGACTCATACGGTCCGGGGCCCCCAGCCAACGGTCGCAATGCCATCACTGTGTCACTGACTCGGCCTCGGAGTCAGGTGATCCCCGGGCCCCGGGCCGGATGATCGCCCGGCCGGCCGGGACTCTCGGCCCGGCATGATCGACCGATCATGACCGTCAAGCCTCGTATAGCCATTTCTATAATTAACAAAACATTTTGTACGGCTATAAAATTTGTACCACATAAAATGATTTTGATTAGAAGGGAGGGGATGATAAGTCACTACCATTTTAATGTTTTGGTCCTGATATGTACCGGTTCTGGTACACTCCGCTAAGTAACTATCTCCTTTAAAAACCAGCCCAAAAAGGTTTTGTAAAGTTGTTTTAGTATCCTGCTAAAAGTTCAAGTGTTTAGCCGCCGTTAGGTACCACCAACCGTAGGTCCTAGGACCTGGGACTAGGAGGTGCATAAGACCTATAATTTTAGGATATAACGAAATATTTTAGGATTCTAGGACCCTGTGCTAGCCCTCCTACCACCTCCTACCACAGCATGATGCCTCAATGGTGCAACGGGTTGTGCGGAGACGTTGAAAGAGGGATCTAGAGGGAGGAGGGAGGATGAGGGGGGGATGTATTAGGAGGATAGAATCAACTCAGAATAGGAGAGCATCCCTGGGTTGTTACTGGTGCTGTACTGCAATTGATTGTAACTACAAACGAAAATAGATGTAGATAGGTGTTATTTCCCTGCAAGACGAAGAATAGTTTTGTCAGTATTGTTTGAATTGTATTGCTGAATGAGGAGATATAGGTTTTTTTTCTCTCAAGCAAAGATTTTAGTCGTGACTTTGTTTCTGAGGTAAATGTTCCAGGAAATTCTCGATGGGACGTCGTAGGTCAAGCAAAGGCTATACCGAATGAAGGGCACTCAATCCGTTGCTTTCCCACCTGAACAAGATTGAAGACTGGTTGCTGCAAGAGACAATCATCTGATAGAGATGGGTTGTGGAAGCTCTTCGCAAGCTGTGAATCAGTCAGACCCACAAGTGAATGGCAAGGTCGGTGTAGGTGGAATAGCGGATGCCGATTGGTCTAAGGGAAATTATCAACAACTTGCCATCACAGAGAAGTACACCTTCGGGAAGAAATTGGGATCGGGTAGCTTTGCATCATGTGCAGTAGGCACCAACAAAGAAACTGGTGAGAAGTTTGCTATCAAGACTTTGCTCAAGTCGCACGAGAACTATGATAGAGAGCTGCTGGATCATGAAGTTCGGATCATGATCGCAGTGGCGCATCCGAGATGCATCAAGTTGGTGGAAGTGTTCGAAGACAAGAAGGCAGTGCACTTGGTGGAAGAGCTTGCAGTGGGAGGGGAGCTATTCGACAGGATTGTAGATATGGGCCATTTCAGTGAGCAGGATGGACTGAAGCTTGCAAGCAGATTCTCGAAGGCATTGCTCACATGCACTCGGTTGGAGCTTGCCATCGTGATCTCAAACCAGAAAACTTGCTGATGGTGTCTGACAACCCGTCGAAGCCGGAGTACATGCACCTGAAGATTGCTGACTTTGGACTGTCGAGTCTGCGTCCTGTAATGGGTGAACAGAGCATGAATACAGTCTGTGGGACCCCAGACTATCTTGCTCCGGAAGTTGTCATGATTGCTTCGCAAGGGAGAGGCACAAGAGTCAAATACGATGCCAAGGTCGACGTGTGGGCAACTGGTGTGATCTTGTATACCATGCTTGCTGGCTACCCGCCATTTTACAGCGAGAATTTGGCTGAGCTCTTGTCTCTGATTCAGAAAGGCGAGGTCAAGTTTCCTAAAGATCCATGGAAGAATGTTTCCAAGGAAACGAGGCAGTATGTGTCTCTCCTGCTCACAGTGGATCAGAAGAAGAGGCCGACGAGCATGGAGTGCCTGAAACATTCACTGATGGACAACATTGAAAGCGTCTCGAACGAGGATCTGGGCCAGGGCAAGGTTCTCAAGGAGTACATCAAGGCAAGACGCGCTCGCAAGGTGCTGAACGGAGTGAAGGTCGTGGCGAGGTTGTCCCTCATGTACCAGGTCAGTGCTTGTCCACTTGTCTCAGTCTTCTCCTTACTGCCCCATGAAACAGCAACAAAACCCTGATGCACCGGCCAGCGACAAACCTGCGGAGACGTCTCCGAGCCCGACGAGTGAAGGGCAGACTGAATGATGTATATGAATGATTTGCCTTGTGTTATCCGCAGGCGACTCGTTGCCTTTCTGGCTGTACAGGTTTCGCCGTGTCCACCGCCTTTCACTGAAGTTTGCAGTCACTTGAAAGTGTCTAACATGATTAATTGAATACCCATGAAACAATCATGGCACTGCCGCAGGCCCGCCTTGCCAGGCCCTGAGAGTCCGAGGGCCCAGTCAGTTGTGATTTCGCTGGCGTTGCCAGACGGACACGGTGAATTAGGGAAGGCCCTGAACGCAGTGTGCCCGGGGGACAGGCCAGGCCCGGCGGCGGCCCGGGCAACTTCAGGCCGGCGGCTGAGTGAAACTCACTTGCGAGGCGGACCTTGTAACAAAGTCTTCTGAGGCGGACTGTGAAAGAGAGGGAGGGATATGCTGGGCCGGGAATCGGGGAGCTATACCATGCACGAACTCGCTCACATGCCCTGCCTCTCACACCATCGTCCTTGACCTCCTCCTCCTCCTCCTTGAGACCTCCTCCGTCCCCTTCTCCTCTCTATCTCACTCTCGTCCCTCTTCCCCCCCCCGCCCGCCTCTTCCTCCTCCTTGAGACCTCCTCCTCCTCGTCCTCCTCCTCGTCCTCCTCCTCCTCCTCCTCCTCCTCCTCCTCCTCCTGTAGATCTGCCTGCCTGACGTGCCAAGGACAATGGTTCCCCCTTTCGCTCGTCCCTTTCGGAGGGGGTGGATCCTCGTCTCACTGCTAGCCTTGCTCTTCCTCCACCTGGTGGCATGCAGGAAGGATTCGAATCCGAGCCTAGTCGCAATGGACGAGAGCAGCTATCGCGACCATCTGAAGAGAGGAGTCTGGATGTGCCTGGTGACAGGGAGCAAGTGCTCCTCGTGCAAGGAGGGGAAGAGGGTGCTGATTGAGGTTGCGATGGTGTTTGAGGGGAGGGTGAGGTTCTGCCTGCTGAAAGATGGTTGGAAGTACACCGGCAAGCGCAAAGGCTCGCTAGTCTTGTTGCCCGATCAGGGAGAGAGTAGAATCGTTGACTACAATGACGAGCTATCGGCAACAGCGCTCAGCCATTTCCTCTGGTACTTCCTGGCTGAGAAGGTTTCTCTAGCGGGGGACCAAGATGGGGCACTTGTGTACCTTGAGCAAGCAGCTGCCTCGAAGCCGAACGCGGCAGATGTTCACTTCAAGATCGGGTACATCTATCACACCCACAGGCAAGATCTGGTCAAGGCCGTGCAGCACTACGAGAAGGCCATGGGCGGAGGGAGCACAGAGAATGCATGGAACTTGAAGTACATGGCAGGCAATGCCTACCTGACGCTCGGGTACCTTGAGAAGGCTCGTCGCATGTACGAGGATGCGATCAAGATCAACCCTTCCTCCTTGTCTCCCTACAAGGAGGCGTCGATAGCTGCCAGGCTGGCCGGCAACCACTCGCTGTCCTCCTCCTACCTCCGAAAGTGCCTTGAGCTCCAGCCTAAGGATGCAGACGCGCTGGCGAAGATGGCGGAGATCCTGGTGGGAGAAGCGACGGAGATGGCGCAGGAAGAGGCGAGGCTGCAGGGCAGCGACCGTCTGCCAGTGTGGATGCGGCAGGAGAAGCAGGAGAACTCCAGCACGATGGAGAAACTGAGAGAGGCAGAGGCCCTGCTGCTCAAGTCTGTCTCCTACAACCCGACCTCGTCTGAAAGCCGATTCCTGCTGGGGACTGTGCTGAAGATGCTGGGAAGGAAGGAAGAAGCGCAGCAGCACTTCCGCCAGTCCGTGTCCCTCCGCGATCAAGGCCAGTCCAAGGGGGACTCGCCGGCTCGGGGGAAGAAGAAGAGGAGGAAGATGAAGGTCTTTGTCTACGACATCCACCCGCAGTGGAACTCAGCGATGTTGAGCTTGAACATGCAGCAATGTCGCAACAGCATCTACGCGGCCGAGGTCTACATCCATGAGCAGCTCCTCCTCAGCGACTCCCTCACGCTCGATCCGGGCGCGGCAGACCTCTTCTTCATCCCCCTCTACGCCGCTTGCTTCCTCTCCTCTCACTTCGTCCGCCCGGGCCCCGGCTGGCCTGACAACGACGTTGACATCGGCAAGACATACCAGGCCGTGCAGCTTGTTCTAGAGCATGTCCGGCAGACCTACCCCTTCTTCGACCGCTCTGCTGGTGCTGACCACGTGCTGGTGCTCAGCTCGGACTGGGGGTCGTGCCAGGGTCCCTTCCTGGAGCTGCACAACTCCATCCTCCTTGTCACCTCCGGCGACCGCACGCTCGTCAGGCCGGCATGGTACGCGGCGAGAGCGGCAGACCACATGGGGAGCAGCGAGGAGTTTGCGGTCCGTTCGAGGCTCCCCTGCTTCCAGCTGTTCAAGGACGTTGTTATCCCTCCTCTCGTCCCCCATCCTGCCCTGACCGCTAGCTACATGGGGGAAAGGACAAGGGGGAGGGACATCCTGGTCTACTTCCGGGGGACGGCGGCAGGGTCTGTCAAGGCGCTGCTCTACAACAAGGACTACTCGCTCGGGATCCGTCAGCTCCTCCTCCGGAGGTACAGCAGGGTGAGGGGATGGGTGGTGAGCGACAGGATCAACAGCTCCTCCTACCATGACGAGCTGCTCCGCTCCGTCTTCTGCCTGGCCCCCGCTGGCTGGGAGCTGTGGAGCGTGCGCTTCTTCGAGGCCATCCTCCTGGGGTGTATTCCCGTGCTGCTGACGGACGACGTCCAGCTGCCGTTCCAGCAGCGCCTCGACTACTCCAGGTTCACGGTGAAGGTAGAGCAGAGGAGGATCCTGGAGCTCGAGAGTATCCTGTCCTCCATCAACGAGACGGTGATCCGGAGGAAGCAGGAGGGGCTCAAAGAGGTCTGGAAGCGGATGACCTACCAGCGGCCCCCGGAGGACGGCGACGCGTTCACAGGCATTATGGACGAGCTCGCGCGCAGGGTGGAGACGCTCGGCAAGACTCCAGCTGGAGGGTGGACGTGACCATTGGGCAGTTGGGGACAAGGAGGAACGCGGGGGGGGGGGGGGAAAGGGGGGACGTAAGGTCGAACACGATTTATTTCAAGTTTGGTTAACTTGATGGCGGCGGGGGAAGGAGGAGGAGGGGGCGAGCGGGGGGGTCAAGAATCTTAGAAGCCCAGGATTGTCTTTACCTCCGCATCCTGCCAGGAGTGTCAGAGGAGCCTCGGCTGCGACTCTTCCTTTACCCGATCTGCGATCACTTGCTGCGCCGAGCTCAAAGGAGGCGCTCGACCTGCTGCTGCGAGTCGTCAGACTTCATCTGAGGGCGAGGCAGCCAGACCCGTCGCTTGCTCGCCCCATCCAGAAGCAGCTGCCGATTCCTGCAACGCCTTCATGGCCTCGAGGTTTGCTTGCGCTTGCTGCCGATGATGACGTCAGCAAGGGTAACAAAGAAGGAGCAGAAGGGGAGCTGGAGGAGAAGAAGAGGTGACGAAGAGGAAGAGGAGTACCATCTTCTTGGCCATTGCGTCTTGTTGCTTGAGGCTTGTTGCGATCTTCGAATGCATATCTGACAGAAATTTCATCCTCCTCCTCCTCCTCCTCCTCCTCCTCCTCCTCCTCCACCTCCTCCTCCTCCTCTCACCCTTCTCCCTCATGGCGTCGACCTTGGACGCCTCGTTCAAGTCCTTGTGGTACTCGTCCTCCACCACTCGGCTGAGAAGCGTCACAGGCTACCTAGGAGCAGCAGACGCTGACCTCATCCTCTTCACGTTGGGGATGAACTCAGTCGCGTCGTCCGCATCCTTGAGCGCCTGCGAGACCTTCTCGTTGGCGACCTCTTGCTCCCTCTTGGCCAGCAGCTCGTGGTTCTTGAGGGTCTTCTCTCGCTCACTCCGCTCCAGCTGCACCTTCGCCCTCTCGCTCTGCTCGGCGTTGAAGACGTCACGATCGTATTGCGACATCTTGGCTGTGGGTGACTCCTGGTGATCCCGTCAGCTCCATCTTCACTCGCCGTCTCCTCCTCACCTTCCCCTTGCCCTTCAGCTCCTTCTCCCGAGCTTCGCGGCTCTTCTCAACTTCGTCTCTCAGCTGCTTCACGTGGTCGTCGAACGCCTTCCTCCTCCCTTGCTCGATCGCCTCAGCCTCCTCCAGGTCCTTGCGGTTGCTCGAGACAGCGTCGTTGATGGACGATCGGCGTGCCAACACGTCCTGGGGCCTCGTCAGTAGCGTAGGTGCAAGAGCAGGAGCAGGAGCAGGAGCAGGAGGAGGAGGAGGAGTATAGGATCGGTACATGAGCAGCGCTGCTCTTTTCGTCGTTGCTTCCTTCCTTTGCCCGGCTCTGCGTGATCAGGTTAAGCTCGGCAAGCCTGCGCGACGCTCCATCACCTCTTGCAACGTCGGCTGCAACCGCGAGGAGTAGATGGTGGAACGAACATCGTCTTGAAGTTGTTTATCCATCTGAACGCAACTTGTCACTTTCTTTGAGTGTTCCATCCTCACAAGCAAAACCTTCTGATCGACTATCTTCTGTTTCTTGGCGGCTTGCAACTCCCTCTCCTTCTTTTCCTCCTGGTCCAACTTCTCCAGCTCATGCCTCTCCTTGGTCAAGATGCTCATCATCGCCTTCTCCTTGGCTGATCTAGCGCTCTACAGCAAGCATTCATCACAAAGTCTCATGTGGTGACACAAGTGTTGACCTCGGCCTGTTGCGATCGCTGCTGCAAGGTCTGAAGTGGCTTGACACTGGACAGTTCACTTGCCTTCTTCTCATCAGCTGCAAACTCTGTCTCGCTATCCTCAGATGTGTTTTCACGTGCATGATCCTCTTTCGCGATTTCTGTCATGGCTGCTCGTTCGTACCTGACAGGGAGACAAGCAGGTCAAGATCAAGAGTAAGAAAACCCAAGTCAACATCCTACTTGTCCTTGCTTGCCTTCCACTTCAGCTGCTCGTGAGCCTTCTTGCAGCCCCAGTCTGCATCGTCGCACTTGGACGTCGCATCGAGAGCCTTCTCAATGGCCTGCCGTTAACCTTAGCCTGCCTTTCTCTTCCTCCTTCCTGGGGTACCTCTTTCCTCGCAGCCACTCGCCTCCTCTCCTGCTTCTCAAGCTCTTGGATCTCACGGTAGAGGTCAGCCATCTGCACTTGGCTCAGCTTCTGGTTCTTCGACTTGATCGTCTTGATCTTCTGCGACAGCTTCTCCACCTGATGACGATGAGAGTCCTGCATCCCCTCAACTAGGCACCACCTGAGTCGACATGGACTGGGCCGCAGCTCCTGGCTTCGCGCTCTTCAGAGATGAACCGGGGGAGGTCTTGTGCTGCACTTCACTCTCTGCCTTGCTCGGTTCTCCCTTGACGGCCGATGCCAACAGGTTGACCGCATCTTGACTGCCGTTCGTCACCTTGACGACAGCTACGACACCAAGGAAGACGAGCAACCCTGAGTCAAGTTGATCTTTCAGGCTCGAGCACAGAGGCGCCTCTCCCCTCCCACCTGCTCCAACCAGCCGCAGGACGTGGGAGTAGCGGGGCGCGCTGCTCGTCAAGGAAGGGTCATGCGGTGCGACCCTCATCTCCGCAGGCTCGAGTCTCTGCGGTCACCATCGAGTCAATGGGGAAGAGAGAGGAGGGAGGGGGGGAGAGGGAGAGAGAGAGAGAACTTCAAGGTGCATCCTTGAACCAGACATCCTCCGAACCTCATGCTACTTGCTCCCTTGCCATGGCTCAGTCCTTGCGTCTCAGTGCTCTGCTGCTCTGCTGCTCTGCTGCTCTGCTGCTCTGCTGCTCTCCTCTCCTTGTCCCCTTCCATCTACTTCTCCCCGCCATATCTCCGCACTCTGACGTCTCTCCCGAAATAGACTGGCCGTTCTTCTCCGTTACGCTCTAGTCAATCATAATCAATTGAGGTCAGGAGGGGAGGGAGTGGCCGGGGTGGAGCGAGGGAGGGGAGGGGAGCAAGGGAGCAAGGGAGCAAGGGAGGGAGCAAGGGAGGGAGCAAGGGAGCAAGGGAGGGAGCAAGGGAGGGAGCAAGGGAGGGAGGGAGGGAGGGACTTGGAGCGTATGAGTGGCTGACCGCGTAGTTTTGATATCTTGCTCTTTGCCGGGAGGGCTCGATTCATACCACTGGCTGGCTCACGATAACTGCAATCAACCGGGGACCGCCCTAAAATTTACGGACTGAGTCGCCCTCTGCCGCTCACAACGTCCCCTCTACCAGAGGAGCGATCTTACATGCTCACTGTACTTGCACATCAACCACCAGGCTTCAAGGATACCCTGGGGGGGTGTCGGAGCAGAAGGAGAGGAGGAGGAGGAGGAGCTAGCAGGGTAGGAAGTTGGCAGGACTGATGCTGCAGGCATAGAGGAGCTCAGGAGGAGGCAAGGGCACGTGAACGAGCATGGCGAGCCGCCAAGGTGACATCATAACAATCAATTTTCGGAAATTAATTTTTTTTTTAAGGCGCCATGGCATTGGTGGGAGGGGAGGGGGGGAGGGGGGGAAGAGCAGCAAACAGCCTGGCAGGACGGCAGGAGGGAGGAGAGAACAGGCTACAAGAGGGCTCTGCTAGCAGCCTCTTACCTGCTCGCCGCCTCTGCCTTGTGCTTGAACTCTGTGAGACATGCTGCGGACATGGGAGCGTTGTACGGTCGATGCACGGTGCACCGGCTGATAGGATCGTAAGGAGCAGAAGCCAAGGTGAGGTCGTTGACGAGCTCGTAGCCCAGCGCGGCCTCCAGGTCAGGGCTCAGCCATGCGTTGGCGATGTCAAGGGCGTCCTGAGTGAAGTCCTGCATGAACTTGCCCGACAGGTAGAAGTTTCTCTTCTCCACCATCTTCGCCTCGTTCCAGTCCGAGGCTACCTTCTTCCCCTTGCTGTTCTTGCAAAACGACACTCCGTGCACCATCTCGCACTGCGACAGGTCCCAGCCGCCTCCAGGGCTCCTCCTCGCCAGCCCAAAAGTTTGTTGGAGCCTCTCCAGCACCACAGCCGGGTCGAGGAAGAACTCTCTGCAAGCAATGTGAGACGAGAAGTTGTACATCTGGTCAGAAATAAACATCCAATCCATGATCTTCGCCTCCCTCATGGCAAGGATGTTGGGGAACCGCTCCAGAGTGTCCGGATCCCTGTCTTGTAGGAGCTCCCCCGCAGCCAGGCGAGGAGCCGCCTTGAAATTGGTGTGCTTCTCATCCTTGGAATGGAAATGCTTGTTGGCTGACTCCAGGATCTTCCTCAACGAGTTCCAGACGTTCCTGTGGGTAACCCACAGCTGCTTGTCCTTGTTCACGCACAAGAACTTGCCGGCCTTGCACTTGTTCCATGACTTGCGACCGTCCAGGCAAGACATCGAAGGCGCCAACTCATCCCCCAGGCTGTTCCTGTACCCCGGCACGGGGATGCACTCGTACTTGACACTGTGAGCTGAACCTGGTTCAAGCGACGCCACTCCGGCGACGCTGTTTTCGAAGTCTGGTGCAGTGTGAATGATTTTCTCGACTAGCCGCTGCCAGGCGTCGAAGTCCGTCCACCATGGCCTAGAAGAATTCTTCCAGAGGCACAAGAACGCACCCACACAATAGGATGCGCTCGTTTCTGCGTTTTCGCAGTTCGGGATTGAAATCTCGTTGTTGTAGTGCTGCCAGAGCGACGAGTCCATTCCGGGCAGGCTGGTGCACTCGTAAAGTGTCTCTGATAACAAACAGGTTTCTCCCGGAAGCAGCCTCTTGTTGGTGATACAAGAATGATTCGTTTTCGTGGCAAGGCCCGCCCAAGTCATCTTGGAAGACCTGCCGCCTTTAGGCTTCGGGGCGCCCTTGCCGACCTGAAAGGAAACCCACTCTCTCAGTAGAAATGCTTCCATCGACGGCATGTTGTAATGAAGATGTGCATAGAAAGGATGGCGTTTCATCGAAGAGAGCCATTCGTAGGGATGCCTCGTCACCAGTATGTTGAGGGTGCTGTCCTGCTTACTGAAATCTGCACGCGGTAGCGGGCCGCCGCCCGGGCAAGTCAGTGACTGTTTCAACGATGGAAAATGGCATGTTACCTGCTCGCCGGACGAAATCATGCTTCCAGGGCAACCCGCCAATCACACAGTCAACTTCCAACACCTTCGACTTGTTCTTGTCCTTCTGAGCCCCACCGGGCGCCGGCCCGTCGTTGCCGCACTCAAGGTTGAAGTTCTTCCGGATGAGCTCAGTGACTACTGAGGTACAGCTGTTCCTTTCGCCCCAGATCCAAATCCTCTTGATCTTCTCCGTCCCCTCCGTCTTCCGGGTCGTGTTCCAGTACCTCCCGCCCTTCTCTCTGAATCGATCTTCCATCCACCGAGTGTAAGTCGCCCCGGCCGTCACTGCATATCGGGGTACAATGTCATAAACGCCGTCGTTGGAGCCAAAAGGAGTCTCAGCCACTAGCCAGCTTGTTGTCTCTTCATAAGCAGAGAGCAAGGTCTTGTTCTCGTGCCTCGTGCGGTTTTGATGCCCGGCCACTGCGCTGCCATTAATGCGATCCTCTCCATCAAACGTCCCAGCCGCATTGCCTGACGGTGATCTCAACCTGGGGCGGAGGGAGCCTAAGGTGGCATGCTTGTCTTTCGTGTTCCTGTATGAGCTCAGATCAACGCCTCGCAGCTTCCCGAGCTCGATGATGAACTCGATCTCAGACTCCAACTCATACATCTTCTTCTCTGCATTCCTCAACCTCTGCAACTCCATCATAGTCTTGGCCCGTGTGCCAAACCCGACTCCAAACTCCGAACAAAAGTGCAGTTGTCCGAGTAAGGCCATTCCGATCAACAGCACAGCAAAAAGCACAGTCGTCACACTCAAAGTCCCCGCTCGCTTCCTCGCCGTCGGGGGGGCTCCATGATGCATGTGACCTGGACTACTGGTGAAGCTAGCAGCCTTCATCACGGATACACTGACACTTCAACCAGCTCCAAGGGACTGACTCAGACACACTCTACTCCCCTTCCCGCCATCACGCGCCATTCAAACGCAGAGGTCGCTCGACTCCCCTCGGCAGGGCCCTCCCTGCGGCATCAGTGGCGGCATCAGGGCGGCTGAGCATATCAAAGTTTGCCGCCACATCATCTGGTCACTTTCCGGCCCGGTAACGTGCCTCCCCCCCCGACTCGGACGGTTCGCAAGTTCCGACGAGGGGCTGAGTGTTGCCCCCGGCCCGGGCCTCTTAGCCTAGTAGTACCGTACAACTACCAGCGGCATCGGCCGGCCCCGGCGAGCCGAGTCGGGGCGGGGCCCGCGGGGGCCCGGGGCGGCCCGGACGCACTGTCAGCCCCCCGCCGCGCACTCAGGAGCCCGCCGGGGCCTCGGGAAGGCTGAGCTGCGAGCCTGTCTTGCAAGCCTCAGTTCGGCAACGGAACCGGACGGTGACGCCGGGCGGTGACCATCATGCATCTGATCGGGCCAGTGGCTGAGCCTGTGCCGCTGAACGGTGCCGGCGGCCGCGCCGCCCGCCGCTCAGTGCCATGATCGGGGCCGTCGGACTATCAAGCCTCGGCCCGGGCCGTTGAGACCCTTCCAGTAGTGACTCCCGGTCCCGAACTCCCGGGGCGGGGGTAAAAAACTTCGTTTGCCGGGGCCGGGGACATCAGCCCGGCTGCCGCAAGGGCCCGGTAGTACGGCCGGGCCCGGGGGGCACTCAGGCACTCAGGTGACCGTGCTGGCAGGCCCAGCGGCGGTTCAGTAAAACAGTGTGGCGAGATCACTACTGTCAGGATGTTGGTACTGCAATATCAACCATTGTACTGTGTTTTACAACTGTTTGTACTGGTATCTTAAAGTGACTCAAGATCTGTATATAATTGTAATGCCCCTAAACTTTTTAGTACCAGATTAATGGTTTTATCTTGTATAAACATTCTGGTTTCCAAGTACAAATGGGGCATGATAGAATATTTTTTATAGAAACAATATATAGGCTAGTACCAAACAGCTTGAATTTTAAAAACATTTTAGCACTTTGCGACCCCATTGCGTCCCTGCGGCAATGGTCGGACAAGTAGCGATGTGGGCGAGAGGGGCGAAGGGAGAGAGGAGGAGGAAGCAGAACCGAACAGTGATGGCACTGAGTCGACAAGGGGAGAGGTAGTGAAAATTGAACTGCAGACGAGAAGAGGTGGGAACTGGTGACGGGGAGGAACAAGCATCTAGACGGTCTTTGTGGAACAAGGGTTTGATGGGTGGATGAAGAATTGCACAGGAGGGAAATATCAGTTTTGTTAATTTCTTTTGGGCAATGTTGTGCCATTGATCGCATCTTGTGTCGTCTACATTGCATGGCGAAAGCCAGGAGGAACTTCTTTTTCAGATCCAATCTTCTGCACAGCGCCTACTGTACGAGATGAACATAGCTGAACCTGGGAGCTCTGCTTATGCACAGCAAGTTGCATTAGAACTTGCTGCTGAATTTCCGGATGTCCTTACAAGTGGAAGGCTATTCGATTCAATCCGAGGGGTAGAAAGCAAGCTCAGGCTGGTTGAAACACCCAACGCTTTGGAAGCTTTGACAAGGTAACTGATCATCTTTGACATGCTGGAACAGCATATGATTGCCTTTTCGTTCAGATTCATTCAGTTTGAGATCACAAGCACAGCTGCATTGCGTGCAGTGGCACAGGCTGCCGCAAATACCGATGGCCAACTTGCGGCATCATGCAGCGAACGTGTGTGCTTGAGGATAGTTAAAGTTCCAGGGTTGTTGGAGGCAGTTGTTGAGAGACTTGAGACAGATGTGGACGCCGTTCGTGTTATCAACAATCTAGCTGCAAATTGTACAGAGTCCGCGAGATTGTTCATCCAAGTGCCGGGGAGCATTCGGGCTTTGAAGGTATGAGCACTGTTGTCTACTTGATAACACCATAACGCAATTGATTGCGTGTCTGCAGAAATCTGCGAAGAAGTTCAAACTTCATGCTTTTGGTGTCATCAATCACCTCTCTCGCTGCCCGTTAGTTTCGGAAATACTGCTGAAGGAGGGCTTCGTTGAAGATATCCTTTTGCCTGCACTGCGCGCAAAATGTGATACCAGCTCAAACGAGAATGAGGCAACCATCGCTCGAGGGACTTTAGCTCTTGCTAACCTCACGGGCATGAACAATCAAGTTTGTCCACAGGCAAACGGGTTTGCACTTAGAACAATTGTAAAGGTATTGGAATATGCAATCAGAGGGGAAAGATTCGCAACCATCACTTGGCTGCCTCCCGCGGTTCTGTTTGGACTGCGGAACATGACAACAAACAAGAAGAATGTTGCCCTGTTAATGAAGTATGGTCTCGCAGATGTTATCGCAAGTCTTGGCAACACGTGGGATCAGAAGACTGGTACTAATACTCTAGAGCTCGCCATGGATTGCATCTCGAACATCACCCTGGTCAATGCTTGCATACAAGGTCTGTGGGATGCAGGGATCGTCCGTGCCCTGCAAAACATCTCAGCGGGCTCGAGGGGGGAGAGCATGGTGGCTATCCGTGACGCTGATCGTCTCATCGACTTTCTGTTGCAACGACACATAGCTGTATGCATGGGTCAGCACAGGTTGGAAGCCTGTTTGTTTTTCTTGCTCCTTGACACCCGAGTGCATCAGGAGAATGGGAGCAGACAGCCTACTTTTGCTGCTGGACGATGCTGTCTTGTTCAAGATTTTGTTGTTTGCATTCGGAAGTCCAGAAGGCTCGCATGTTTCCACTTCTTTGTGAATTGCTGCAACAGGAAGTACACACAAATGTATATTATCAACACTAAGTGCGTGCGAGAGCTTGCTTCTCATGCTCCTTTTTGTGCGATTTCTCATTGCAGCCATGAAGCCCAATCTAACGCAAACAGCTCTCCCGCGCCCTGATACCGACTAGTGTTGGCAACATGCAAACCTCACTGCTGATAGAGAAGATCGTGCTCGGCCACAATGCGCGTGAAGTGAAAGAAGGGATCCTCAGTAGCTCCCTTATCCCAGAGTTGCTGAAAGAGCATGCAGTCAAAGAGAAAGGAAGGATGAAAGGCTTCCATGCTCTGGAAATGAGGGGAGGAAGGCGGCCAGGGGGGAACGAGGAAGGGGAGAAACATGAAACCAGGAGGCGAGGGAGGAGTTGCTCACTTGATGGACGAGAGATATGCTGTCTCCTCTGGATGTGAACTGCACTGCCAAGCGAAGAGCAGGAGGAGGAGAGGCGGGGAGAGGCACCTCAAAGCATCCTTTCCGTGCTGTTGCGAAGAGAAACTTGCCCATGTGCAAGGCAACCATGATGAAGTCGTGGGACGAAAGTGAGTCTGCTGTCTCCACTGCCAATTGTTCGTCAAAGTCCTCCTCTTCCTTCCTCCTCCTCCTCTTCCTCGTTCCTTTCTTCTGCTCCTGCTCTTCTGCTCCACCCCCCTCTCGCCCCCCTCCTGCTTCTGTTCTTGCTCCTCCTGCTTCTTATTACCGTCCGTATCATCCGTATCATCCCACGTATTCTCATCCTCCTCCTGACTCTGACTGTCCTCCAATCTTCATCTAGCAGCACCTTTCAGCATCGGTCCATCGTAGATGTCGCCGAGGTTGTCGAGGAAGTAAACTCTGCCAGTGCTACCAGCAGAGCTCCAGCAGGAGCAGGGGCCCCACGTATCTTCACAGCCACGCCCCCCTGTAGCGTCGGGGAGTCACTTGCTAACCTGGAAGACTAGGGATGAGCACCTGGGTCAGCCCCTGTCCTTCCCGTCCTGCGATTCCTCCCGTCCTCCTCCTCCTCTACCAGCAGACCGATCTTCAAGGAGGCTCCTTCCCATGCAAGTCAGCTGCTGTCGCGCTCGTCTCGCAGCACCAGGGCGGAGCTTCTCGATTCTGAAGGTCCAGCAGGCTGAGCCGGAGAGAGGGAGGAGGGTGCTGCTCACAGCCGTGGGGTAGCTCAAGAAGCCTCCTCCTCCAAACCTGGAGACGACCTGTGGAGGATAAGGAGGAAAAGGAAGAGGAGAAGGAGCTACAGAGGGACGAGGAGGAGGAGGAGAAAAAGGAAGGGAAGGAGGAGGAGCTACAGAGGGGGGGACGGGGAGGAGCTGGAGCTGGAGGAGGAGGTAGAACCGGAAGGGAGGAGGAGGAGAGGAAGGCGAGAGGGGGAAGGAGAAGCTCGGGACTGCTACCTGGGCTCCTGCGATGAAGATGAGGTCGGCTTCCTCCGGTGTTGCGTCTGGCGGATGAATCCATGCTGCCAAAGTGGTTGAGGAAGATGGAGGAGAGGAAAGGAGGAGAGGAGGAAAGAAAGAGAGGATGTGAGAGGAGGAGGAAAAGAGCAAGAGAAAGCGAAGAAGGCGACGACAATGAAGGAAAAAGAAGTGGAAGGAAAGAGAAAAGAAATCCACCACAGTGACGACTAACTGCACTGGAACGAAGGCTGAGGAGAGGGGCTGGGGCTGGTCTCTTACGTGAGTGCGGCACAATGAAATCTGCTTGAATCGCGCCATGTGGGTACACGTCATACGCGCCATGCTCGGGTAGAACATCCAACAACAGCCGGCGAGGAGGAGGTGGTGGTGGTGAAGCTCCTTGGTCTTTCCTCAGCGGAGAGACCGCTGGAGAAGCAGGAGCAGGAGAGGCAGGAGGGGACGAGGCAGGAGCAGGGGAGGCAGGAGGAGACGAGGCAGGAGCAGGGGAGGCAGGAGGAGAAGGAAAGGAGGGGTTCTCCATCAACATCTGGATGGTTAGCTCCAGCTCTGTCTTGACGTTGTCAAACTGCTCGCGCATGAGATTGACGTCGACCAGGAGGTCTCTAAGCCAGCAGTCAATTCGACCCTGTTGACACCAACGGACCTGCAGAGGCTCCTGGCGCTGTTGCGATCGTCCACCAGCCGCTGAATCAGCGCTAGCTGCGAGCGGAAACAAGTTGAGGATAGGAAGAGGATGGAGAGGAGGAGGGAGAGGAGGAGGGAGAGGAGGAGGGAGAGGAGGAGGGAGAGGAGAGGAGAGGAGAGGAGGGAGGGAAGCGAGATGCTCGACAACCTTGCTGGGTCTGTTGACTGCTTGCAAGAGGCGCTGGGAGGCGCGGGAGGCGGAGAGGACGGTCCTCTCGGTTGCCGACATGTTGTGGGAGCTGCGACGGGAGACAGAGAGATGAACAACATCTGGCAGAGCAAGAGCAGCACGAGCCTTGTCACTCGCGGAGCTCACAGGACAGCAGCGACCCACCATCACCTTCATCGTCCCTCACGTGAAGTTGACGACAGAGGCTTCTCTCCTGCTCCTGCACCTCCGAGATGGCAGAAAGGACGTCAGCCTGCTCTCATGCGTCATGGAGACTGAGAGAGCAGCAGGGAGAGGAACAGGAGAGAGCATGGTGAGGCAGCAGTGGGGAAAGGAGGAGGGATCAAGGGGAAGAAGGCGGGGGGGAGGGGGGAATCAGGGAGGACGGGAAGAAAGGAGAAGGAGGAGGAAGAGGAGGTAGGATTGGGATGCAGCAAGGGAAGGAGGAAGAAGAAGTACTCGCCTGCAGCTCGACAAGAGCAGAGAAGAGGCACTCGTTGTCTCTCTCGACTTGATATCTGTTGCAAGAGCTTCAAGGAGGGTCAGGGGAGACGTTGACTCCCTACACGCGAGATTGCGTCAGGTCCGCGCATGAAAGAACCTTTGTAAGGATCTTGGCGCCTCCTAGCAAGGAAACTCGTCAACCCTTCAACTCTTCCCCCTTCTCCTACCCCTTCCTCTTCCCCTTCTCCTACCCCTTCCTCTTCCTCTTCTCCTACCCCTTCCTCTTCCCCTTCTCATACCCCTTCCTCTTCCTCTTCTCCTACCCCTTCCTCTTCCTCTTCTCCTACCCCTTCCTCACCCCTTTCCCCTACCCCTTCCTCACCCCCTTCTCCTACCCCTTCCCCTTCCTCCCTCCTCTATCAAGGACAAGTGCAGCTACGTTGTTGCGTGCTGTTGACATGCTCGAACATCCTCCCGGAGGCATTCAGTTCGGCCGCCAGGGCTGCCATGTCTGCTTCCATGATGCTCTTCATGTGCTGCCGAGAGGTCATGGAAAGTCACGAAGAGGCTGAGCCACCTGAGCAACAGCAGCAGCTTCTCTTAGCAGGTCGCCCGCCAGCAGAACCCTCTCCTGCATCCCCTCCTTCTCCCTCTCGCTCCTCCTCGCTCGCTGCAAGCTCAAGTGCCTGCGCCACTCAGCCACGGCCGACTGCAGCATGCTCGTCTGCTCTGCGCGCTCGAGCTGCTCCCTCATCGCCGCTACCTGCTCCGCCTCCTCCTTGATCCTCTTCCTCAACTGCACAACTTCGGCGCTCCTCTGCTCCAGGGCCCCGCGAGCCCTGGACGCCTCCTCCCTCGCATCCCTCAGCATTCCCTCGACTTCTGCGAGGCTCCTATGGCATGTGCTTACCTGCCCCATGAGCAGGCAGGTGGCTCCTTCCTCCTCCTCCTTCATCGACGCGATCTCGCAGTCTCTCTCCCTGAGCTTCCTCTCCAGCTCCTCCATGCGGAGCTCAAGTCGCTCTGCGTACCCGCGCGCATCCGCAAGCTCCTCCGCCATGCTCTCCGAGCACGCGCAGACATCTCTGACCAGCTCCAGCAGCATCCCAGGAGTTGCGCCTCCCTGATCCCCTTGACAGCGACAGCTTGGTCTGAGAGGAGGGTAGCTACTATCGTGGCGCCCTGGTACTCCTGCTTCTGCTCCTGCTCCTGCTTGTTCTTGCCCTTGTTCCTCCTTCTCCCCTTTTTCCTCCTTCTCTTCTTCCTCTTCTACCTCTTCCTCCTCTGGGGATGATGACGATTCTGCGTCCGAGTGCAAAATCACGTCTCTCATCATCCTCAGCATCGCCTTCTTTCCCCTGCTCGACCTTACCATCGTCGGCTCGTCGTTGAATCGTCGACCCTCTATCCTCCCTCCTCCTCCTCTTCCTCCTCCTCCTGGCCTCCGTGGTGTCTCATGCTATGTCTCATCGTCTCATCCTCTTGCCCTCTCCTCTGCTCCTCTCCTTCCTCCTCGCTCGCTCTCCTTCCCCCACCATTCTCATATTTTCACTCTCTCTGGATTCAATTTTGACTCGCGCGAGGGTTTCGGTTGATTGACAGGAGCTAGTCATTCCTTCCCCTGCCATGCAGTCTCGACCAGTCGAGGAGGGAGGGAGGGAGGGAGGGAGGGAGGGAGGGAGGGACGGAGGGACGGAGGGAGGGAGGGAGGGAGGGAGAGAGGGAGAGAAAGAGGAAAGGAAGAGGAAATGAGAAGCAATGAAAAGCGAATGGATTGAACTCAAATGAGTAGAAGAGCAACTACACGGGAAAGGAGGAGGAGAAGCTGGAGGAGGAGGAGCTAGGAGAGGAGGAGCTGGAGGACGAGGAGCTGGAGGAGGAGCTGGAGGAGGAGCTGGAGGAGGAGGAGGGATTGTGTATCTTGGATGACGATTCTCTACAGATGTCCGAGCGCATTGACGAGGAAGAGGCCGAAGACGCCCAGCTGGAGCCCCATGATGTGCATGTGGAGGACGGGAGGGCCATGGAAGCGCACAAGGAGGAGCGGAGGGCCATGAAGGAGGAGGTGGAGCAGGCTGAACATTCGCTGATGTTCCCGGGGCAGAAAGTCATCAAGGGCTTCAGCGATGGGACGCACTACGAGGGAGAGTGGAAGTTCGGGAAAGCGCATGGCACGGTGCTCAGCTTTGCCCTGCCCTGCCCTGCCCTGCCATACTCTACTCTGCCCTGTCCTCCCTTGCACTGCCCTGCCCTGCCCTGCCCTGCCTCTGACGCGTTCCCTCCAGGGATCGGTCAAGTTCGGCAAAGCTGGGTCTATCCACTGCCCTCCATACCGAGGCTTCGCGCGGCAGCACGAGATGAAGCAGGATGCTCAGGATGCGGAGCCTGTTAGGAGCACGTCGACACAGTACAAGCTTCCTAAGAACGGAGACAAGTATGCGCAAACATACATGCTGCGGACCCTTGACGAGGCTGCAGGTACGACGGGGAATGGAGACGGGGGCTGCCTCACGGCAAGGGTGTGATGAAGTACGCCAACGGGGATCAGTTCCGCGGGAGGTTCGAGGCAGGGAGGTCAGGGAGGATGGCAGCATGCCGCAGCTTCGGGTTGACTTGGCAGCAGGAGGACAGGGAAGGGAGAATACGTGTGGGCCAACGGCATTGAGAGACACGTGGGGTACTGGAACAGACTCGAGGAGGGGAAGGGGGTCAGGGTCTACGAGAACTTGGACGTGTACAGGTGAGTCGGTGCTGAGGGTGAGCTGGGGTTGAAGTGTTCCCGGCCAGAGGAGAGTTCGCGCTGGGTGAGCGATGGGGCATCGGAGTCACGACCAGCAAGGACGGGAGTTTTCACTCTGGTCAATACCGAGCTGGGAGGGCACAAGGAGAGGGGCAGGAGGAGGCAAAGGGGATCGGAATGTTGTATGAGGGAGAGTATGCCAATGGACTGCGGCATGGGCAGGGATGCGCGTCAACTTCGGTGGAGTAGACGAGGAGGAGGTTACTGGCTTGTTGACGCTGTTGCAGTGGATGGAGTACGAAGGAGAGTGGGTTCTTGACACCAAGGATGGTTTTGGGACCCTGAGGAGGAAGAGTGGAGCAGTGTTGAGCGGGCACTTCAAGATGGATCGAGCGCTGGGAGGAGGCGAGCTTCTCTGCCCCGACGGGAGCAGCTATCAGGTACGACCGCCGATGGTATTTCCTTGACCTGCCGTCTTGACTCGTTGCAAGGGAGAGTTCATGAATGGAGTGGCGGACGGGCGGGGAGTGTACCGGTGACTCCTCTGTCGCTTGTGTCCCACGACTTATTAGTCTTCCTGTCCTTCTCCTCCTCCTCCTCCTCCTCCTCCTCCTCCTCCTCCTCCTCTTCTCCTTCTCCACCTTCTAGTTGGTCAAGCGGAGTCAACCGTGGAGATGTCTATCAGGGAGAGTTCATGGCTGCCCACAGGCACGGGAGGGGTCGGTTGTCGTTTGCCAATGGCGACAAGCTCGACGGGGAGTTCTGTTGGAACAAGCTTTGTGGCCGTGCTACCTTCCAGAGCTGCTGGGGAGCGATACGAGAACAGATCTGGCATGTCGGAAGACCCGGTTACATCGTGAGAGATGGAAAGAACCTGTGTGTGCGCATGGGAATGTCGTTTGAGACAACTCACTTGCACCATGCAGACCGTACACAACAGAGAGGTTCGAGCAGAAGGAAGTCGTGGTGGGATCGCCGACGGGACAGCTGATGAAGGATTACCTATTCACAATCATCACATGGAGGCCCGACCGGACTAAAATAGAACACGATGACGATGATGTGACGAGTTCTTCTAAAGGGTGGACGGGTCATTGATGTCCTGCTGTAGTGTGCTATGGTAGTCTTAGACAACAACGGGATCCCTCGCATGCAGGAAGCTTGACCTGCGCAGAGACTTTGATATTCTGACTTGAGTTTGCAGATCATTGAATTCAAAGAACATGAAATCAGTCCCCTCGAAAAACTTTTGTTTCGCAACAGCAGGTAATTCAAAGAATAGAGGGCAGGGTTTAAATGCTTTGCAGGATATGAAAATGTAATGCTTGTCCAAGGTATAAGATTCCTTACATGAACGACTAATCTTTGTGCAGATCAAATTTCAACTTCCATGGTATTCATAGTTGTTTCTAATCACTGCTTTGTAATAGCAACATTCAACTTCAGACAAGTCACTGTTTGCGAGAGAATATTAATATGAGCATCAACAAGTCGAAAGCTCTTCATCGCCTTTTTTGGCTCATGAAAATGCTACGCGCGTTTCTTTGAGTTCGGCGTCAGGACGAAGATACACGATATTTCAGGAACTACTGAACCATTTTTCCTCTGGTACTCGATCCTTTCATGCCTCCAGAACTGCAAAGGTCTCATTCTCTTTCTTGCACTCCTTCGAGTCTGTTTCTGCACAGCACACATCAGGCCGCTTGGCTTGTAGGAATCGCTGAGAACGCTCTTGGCATAGCTCAAAGATGTCATGATGCTTGCGTTAACCTCATTGACCATGTGCGATGCAATCTCCATCGAGTGTGAGCTGTTTTCATCCTCGGTGAGTCGGTCGACTGACTGCATGTTTGCCGAAACGATCGAAGAATCAGACTTTGCTCGATCAAAGTTCGACTTGTTTGATAACTTTGCAGGCGAGGAGCACAATGACATGTCACTAGAGTCTTTCTTTGTGTTTGACCCAATATCACACGCCTCAGGCATATCAGCATCCGTATCCATGCTTGTGTCTTGTTGATTCGTGCGAGACGGTTGAGAGTGATATGATTCAAGAAGCTCCGGAAATATTGTACCGAGGTTTGCGATGAATTCCGATATGCTCCCTCTGTTTGAATTCTTATCATCAGACTTGTTTCTGCCAGATGCTTCAAAGCAACGGTATATCTCGCCGGATTGTTTTGATGATGAATGTTCCTTCGAGCATACAGATGAGCGGTCATAATCTAGCATATTGTTGACTTTGATTGAACTCGTTGGAACCATATATTTGACAGAGTCTGGTGTAGAACACAATCTGCTGTCGACTTCATCCTCGAAACTGAGACTACTATCCAGTTCGCTGGTCGATGAAAAGTGGTCGATACCAGAATCCATCTCATCTTGAAAATCTTCACTTGTCCCTTCGGTTGCTGAGGAGCTCAAGTTGCTGCCGTTTCCCCGAGACGTCTTCAAGAAATCTACAAGTATACTTCTTACCTCTTGTTTGTCATTCCCAGCCATGAGGCATGAAAACACATAGAGACCAATCTTCTGGGCCAAGTCGAGAATTCTTCTTCGTGCAACTTCGATTTCGAAATTTGATTCATCGACCGAGAAATCTGAGCTTGACTGCTTGATTGGGGTTGAATCTGTAGAGATCAATCCACTGATTGTATTATAAAGACATGACTCTAAATCATCCGAGCTGATATCTTGATCAAGCTGAGATGATGAGAGAGAAGAGGTTGATATTCTGCGCGTCTCTTCAAGAATGGTGCTCATGACGTCCATCGTGCTGCTCCTCTTCGCTTTGACGCCATGTGCCGCCGACAGCATATTTATGCCGCTCTTCGGTGAATTCAAACCTGGCCGAATCTGACTACCTCACAGAGGTCGCTATGTAGGGAGAAGATGGGGGTAGTCAATAGTATAGAGGGGGGTCGGGGTTCTAGGTAGGTCCGGGCTACGGAATTTGAATTGGACCGTTTGAGTGATGCCATAGATGAATGGCATGCTGCTGAATGAAATGCAAGACAAGACCTCGACGTGTGATATGAGAAGCAAGATGCATGTCAGTTTCAACTCAGACAGAGTAGATTGTCAGATGCTACACTGCATTCACTTCCCGGACTCAGCGGGTATTGCATTCCGGTGTCTGCAAGTACAATGGATGTTGCTGTTCAGAAGATTCGAATACAAATAGAATCAAATGAGACTTTGTATGAAAAGCTGCTTGATTTTCTATGGTGCCTTTGTCGGAGAAGCATCGACGAGAACTTAAAAAGTTACAATGAGTCTGCACTTCGATGAGGGTGCGCTGGGCAAAAGTAAGTCACACCCTCGGCAGTCTGTCAGTCATGGCTGTAAGCATTTCATTCATCATACTCTTGCCGAGGTGACGAGTAATTTGCTATGAGCTGAGCAAGTGCACGAGGCCTCTTGAAGCTCAAGGTGATAGGCTAGAAAGTCACTCGCGTCACTCGTTTATTGACGTTTCAATAAATTTGCGAATGAGGGGATCAGCAGCTTCAGGAACCACCTACTCAGCAGTGAGAAACAAGCGCATGTTCAACAAGTTGAAAGATTACAAGTAGCTGTTCGCTGGTGTCGCTGTACAAGCAAGCTTCGCGCTTGGCAACTTCGCCAGGTCCCTTGTCGTTGAATTTCAACCTGCGCGCTTCTTTCTCGCACTGTTGGTACGAGACAAGCCATGTCATGGGACGCGAAAAAGAGAAGACAAAGCAGCACACCGCTCTATGAGCCTCCCCACTGAAAAAATTATGATACGCAACCTACACATTGCTCGAGTCAAAAGGCACCAGAAAGCAGGAACAAGACAAGAACCGCTGGTTCCGCACGAATTCGGCATCTTTCTTGTTCCCAAAAACAGATCTATTGATTGCGTCAGCTTGCACAACATTCAACATTTGCAGCTGTATCTGCCTCACCTGATCTGTTACAACTTCTGGAACAATAGGCCAGTTTTCAAGGCACTGTCGTTGACGTCATTTTTCAGAACACGACAAGGTGATTATTCACACCTGAGGATGAGCATGCATTCTAAGATATTCGATGATCTGGTGATAAAGTGAGCCAAACGTATCCAGTGAGAACAAAGCTTTCTTTGATTTGACGCACCTGCGATGCAGTAATCCCCCTTACCAGAGCATTTCTGATACTCTCCCGGGTGATGACTGCAATAATCATGTGCGGGAATTTGTAGATCGGCCGAGTAAACAACCTCAAGATCTGACCAACAAATTGTCAGCAATGAGAATGAGAGAAGAAGAGAGAGGAAGCGAAAGTACCTGTTCTTGTAGTGCTGAGGTTGTATACGCGTAAATCCGATAATTTGTTTCTACTATTATGCATCTTCCCATCCCCACCCCAGCTGCAGGCTCTGCGCTGAATTCATCTGCCACACCTTCGTACAAAGTCACGATAAATTCACACGTCATGTATGACTCTTTGGAGACCTGCGTCTGTCGAGGGCCCTGATGGAACTTCACTTTCTGTGCAAAGATTGACGATCAGTGGTGTTGGGAAGAAGTATTGTCTATCGTTCGGCTTGAAGTATACAGCTCCCAGGTCATGTAAAGAAGTTATCAGCTCCTGGTTGCTACGAGACAGAAGGTCCAAACGATATCCCGCCCCAAGAGTGCAGAAGCTGAGCTGAAAAATGCACGAGAGACTGTCCTGAAGGTCCTTGTTCTCGGACCCTTTCTTGGTGAGCACGTGCATCAGCATCTGAAGGATTTGATTGCGAAGAGGACGAAGTAAGAATTGAAACCCAAAGGCAGTGATTTTCGGCGCAAGGTTTTGCAGAGACATCATGAAGCTATTTCCGTTCTTGTCCTCCCCTACCAGAATCCCCCTCACCCACTTTGTTGGCTTCCATCCTGGCTCGGGCCGTTTCATGGGATCTAGTCCCGGACTCACCATGTAGTGTAGGATACTCTCCCATCGATTTTGGGCCCATTGTTGGAGCTCCTCAGCCGTCGTGTCCGGACTATCTCCCATGATCCTTCCCTTGCTCCATGGAGACGTATCCCTCTGCAAAAGGAACTGGAGGATCCTCTCGCTGAACGTTGGATTGATCCTGACCGAAACACCATCTGATTCTTTCACATCTTCGTCCAAGTACAGAATCTTAACTTCTTCCATTTTCCTCACAACCTCCTCCAACCTCTGTCGCTGAACCTCTCCCTCGTCTACCCATCGCAGCAGCTCCACCCGCTCTTGCCCGAGATGCACGAGGCGCATGAGCAGCTGTCTGCCGAGAGGAGGCATCAGCCTCATCATAGAGACGCAGGCCCACTGGTTCTCGTAGAGCTTCGAGCACGCGCTCTCCGGCAGCTCCCCCACCGTCCTGCATACCTCCCATGCCATGTCCTCCACGACCCTCATCCAGCCCGATAAGCGCTATATAAATATGCCGGACCCCGAGCCGGGCCCAGGGTCCGGGTGACTCGGACGGGAGAGGCCCGCCAGCGGCCCCTGACTCTGCTTTTAATTGACATTTTCCGTTGCGTTGGAGTCACTCAATTTTTTTTTGACCGACTTTACTCAAAGCTCAATACTACGACCGTTCCCAGCGACCTTATTTCATAGCTGTTCCCAGCAAGGTTTTTTTAAAAATACTCCCACAGTATTGAAATCAAAAATGTTTGATGGTACTACTTGTACTGTGATAATTAAAATCAGGTTGAGTTACCAGTCACAGTGAGAACTATAATGGGACCGTCATAGTATACTACTTCGAGTTTTAGACTCACAGTACAGTAGGGGTTCGTTGTCAAGCCGCTGCTTAAGTCTAGGCAGTACCGCGGCTTCGCTCCCCGGAGTCCCGCCGTCTCAGCACCTCCAAGGGTGCACGACTCACGACCGTCGACTGTAGTGAAAGCTTGAAGCCTGATCCATCGTTAGAAGACATGCCTCCTGTCCCAGAGAATGACATCTACCAGCGTGTTAACGCTGGACCGCGGAAGATCGAGTTTCCGCTCACGGAATATCGAGATTGTGAGGAACGACGAGCTGGTGCCAACGATCAGCGAGCTGCGGAACTACCTGTGACCAACCGGCCGAGGAAACATGAAATCGCAGTCACTCATATGGATCATTTTGTACCGGAGGAAGGCGGCCCAACCCAGTTGGCAGGCCTTCAAAGCTATCGTCCCAAGATCATCGTGGTCTGGAACAACAAGGGAGGTGTCGCTAAAACCACCACAACACATTCCTTGGCCTTTGCGCTTGCAAGCAATTCACACAACAAGGTTCTCATGGTCGATTGCGACGGGCAGCAGAATCTCTTGCAACTGGCATTTCGCAAGGCCGTTTACACAGATCAGCATGACGAGATAGCAGGCGATTACTTAGCTTACTTATCATCAAGGCTGCCACGGGGCCTCCGCACGGGTTCTTCCATCTCGCTTGAAGCAGCATCGAGGAAATTCCGAGATACAAACGGCACTGCTGAGCTTTGCGTGCCACATGCTTTCGAGGTTCCAGATGGTCCAGGAACTAGGAACAACAAGCGCCTGTTTTTTGTAGCTGCAGGAGAAGAGTTTGAACGCATTGATGCTTTTCTTACTCAAAAATTCCAACAGATCAATATGGGTCAAGAGGCTGCAGAACTGCATAATTGTCCTGGAATTCTCTTTCATCAGATCTGGAGGGCGGCGTACTCAGTTGGAGCTACATATGTGGTGCTGGACCTTGCGCCAGCAATCAATACGACCAACAAGCTTCTTCTGATGCATTCTGACTATTTCTTGACCCCTTGCTTGTCGGATCAGTTCTCTCAAAGAGCTCTCGAAAGGCTGAGAAGAGATTTCGGCAAGTGGTACCGTGAGTTTTATGGAGGAGGCAATCCAGGCAATGGGATCCGCATGGCAAGTAGGGGTTGGAGGAAGGTAGGTGGAATGCCCAAAGCCGATTGGCCTCTTCCAGACATGAAGCCACAGTATGCTGGGGCAATCATCTCAGGTTATACAGCCAATCCGACCAGCATTCTTACGCCTGTAAGTAATCAGAGTGGTGGTCTGCAGCAGCAAGAGAGCCCTGAGGGTCACTTGGCGAGGTTGTTGCATGCTCAGGTTATGTTCTTTGCCAACGAGCTGGGTCGAGAGTTGTCATCTCGAGGATTTGCAGTGCCAGCAGACAAATTTACACATCCAGCGAGATCAAACATGTACCCACAACCCTACGTTGCCGCCTGCATCAGGAAGTCCACCTCAGGGTGGGAGCATACATCAGAGAAATGTGGAAAGCCTTGGGCCTTTCTCACTGAGATAGAGTTGGCAAGGATGTTGACCGAAATGGGCAGGACGACAGATGCTCGGCAACGAGAGTCCGTGGCTCACTACCGCAGGATCTATCTGGACCTCGCAGAATTCTTGAGCAGGCTTGAAATCAGCAGCGCGGGCGGAGCGGATCGCTTTGTGTTTAACATGCCTAAACTTGGTCATGACAACAATGACGCTGAGTTTGACCAGTCTGGTGACATATGACGGACAAAGGTAAGGAGACGTAAAGCAGCAGTACTCGCTAGATGAGATTTGATTTGACGTGTAGGCAATCGCTTTCGACAAGCTAAGGACTAGATCTTTACAGAATGCACGTATTGATGTCGTTGAAAAGAGTGCATTTTTGATAAGCCCATTAAAGAATGCTGATAACCCTAATGTCCTTACGATAGCGGGCTGAATGTTGATATGATAATCTGAGAGACCTGATGTAAATGTGTGTATTTGCATGCTCGACGGTGTGACAGGCTCAAACATCATTGTTCCACATGGCAGAAGCCCTGAATGGTTGTAGACTTGAAGAATCATTTTGAATACACTTGTTTTCTGCAAATCACATCGGCAAACCAAGTAATATGTAAGCGAGCAACAGGTTTTATTCATACGACTGAAGATTTCCAGGGCATCCATTACGATCAGCATGCAATCAAACATGAGCAGATTCTGTACATGAACGTCTGTCATCCAGAACCTCAAGCGAATCATTCTTTTTACACTAGCATGGACACCTTAGGGTTCCTCTCATTTCAGCCAGCCAACAAGAAAAGGTTTGTAAACGATATCAATGATGGACGAATGGCAGAAAGACTAAGTCGATTGCGGGAAGACTGGGACCGCTGGGCGCTTCATCAGAATAGCGCTAAAAGATCAGCGCTAATCTGATGAAAGACAACTGTTGCATCCACATCATATTTCATATCAGGTACGGCAAGACATAGACTTTATCTTGAGTGCGAGACTGCAAACGTGTACGAATCAAAAGTGCAACGTGGATCTTCACTTGTTCCCCCCCCCCCCCCCCCCCCCAAACACCCGCTCCCTCTCTTGACGCAGTGGAGGCTGCTGCTGCTGCTATCCGACATCGCCATCGTGTCCTCCCTAACATCAAGCGCTTCCTCATCCGTGCTTTCGCTACCATAGCGCGTGTTCCCCTCCCTCTACCTCCCGGTGATGTCGCTTGTCACGCCATACAAGAAGGTCAGCACATTCCTCGAGCCCCTCGATGTCAGTCAGGACATGCTCGGATAGGTGCAGCGCCTGGTGCGGCGCATCCTTGCGCCTGATCTATCTGTGAGGCTGGGAGTCGAGAATCCTGATTTTCTCGGGATGCTCGCAGATCGCCGCTGTGATGGGCAGGTCGTCGAGGAGTGACTGATACCTGAGGAAGAGGAAGGGGTGGCAGCGGAAGGCAGGGAGGGAGGAGGAGAGGCAGGAGGAGTAGGGGCAGGAGGGGAGAGAGTGGAGGGGGGAGTCAGAACAAGGGGCGTGCAGAGCAAAAGGCGTATGTGGAACCGATCCTGTCGTCGATGACACAGTCAGACATGAAGGAGAAAGGCAGAGGAGATGTCAGCCATGGGTCCAGGGTCAGGTCGCAGTTCTCAGGCAGCAGCGTCCTCATCACTGGATGCTCGGGATTTCTTGGCAAGGTAACAAGGAGGAGAGGCATGGTGACGGTCAATGATTGGTGGGGGTCAGGCTCTTCTCGAGAAGATCCTCCGATGCTGCCCAGAGGTAGAGACGGTGTACGTGTTGCTGCGGTCAAACACCAAGAACGGCAGCGCCGCCCAGCGACGTTTGCAGGAGGAGATTTTTCCTTCCTCTTGTTTCAACCAGCTCCGTCGTGTCAGGCCAGAATCTCTGAGCAAGTGCAGGGCCGTGCAGGGCGACGTCTGCCTGCCAAGGTTTGGCATGTCGGAGGAGGACTTCATGCTGGTGAAGGAGCATGTCAACTATGTGTTCCATTGCGCTGCTACCATCAACTTCAACGAGCACCTCAAGACTGCCTTCAAGATCAACGTGGACAGTATGATCCACCTCGTTGATATCTGCAAGAGGTGAGAAGAACAGGGGAGGAGGAGGAGGAGGCTGGTGAGAGCTCCTTCATGGCAGCATCAAGAAGCTAGAGGCCCTGATCCACGTCTCCACTGCCTACGTCAATGCACCGGTCAGAGCCAACCACGTCATACCGGAAGAGTTCAGGTGGGAAGAGTGGGAGTAGTCCCAGCTTTACTTTGTCCTTACTTTGTCCTTACGTTGCCTTTACTCCGTCCTTTGCTTTGTCCTTACTTTGTGTTGTGTTGTGTTTGCTGGATGTCAACTGTTCGGGCAGGTCGGTACCTGCGGATTACTGGCAGCTCAAGTCGCGGGTGGACAAGATGTCGAGAGAGGAAGTCAGCGCGATGACGGAGGAAATCCTCGAATCCTCCGGGCACTGGCCCAACTCCTACTGCCTGACCAAGTACGACCTCCTTGAGCAAGGCGAGCCAGCAGCGCTGACGGTGAGGAAACTCGCACAGGTGTATCGGAGAGCTGGTCCTACGTGATCTTGGCGAGAGGTGAGACCCGACGCTCTTTTCCTGCTCCTGCCGCTCACTCGGTGACTCTAATGATCAGCCTCCCCTACCTGATCGTAAGGCCGACCATCGTCACCTGTGCGTACAAGGAGCCTGAGCCAGGTGCAGAGCCACGGCGCGATGAGAGGAGGGAGTTGGAAGGGGGAGGATGTTGGGGAGGGAGGAGGGGAAGGGAGGAGGGAGGAGGGAGAGGGAGGGAGGGAGGGCTGACAGGAGTGTCAGGGTGGATTGATACTCTTGTGGGGCCCACGGGGCTGGTCTTGGCAGTTGCAGGTTGTAAAGTTGCCTTGTGACGCTGCCGGACACTGACCATAGCTCCCTCCAGCTGGGGTCCTACACGTAGCTCCTGGCCGAGATGACTTTGTTGTGGACTTCATTCCTGTCGATTTTGTCGTCAACTGCATGCTTTCTTGTGCATGGTTTGTCTCGTCTGGGAAGGAAGGAAGTTTGGGTGTGTCAAAATTCCATCTTTGATTCTTTTACCTTCTCCGTTTCCTCCTCCTCCTCCTTGCATTCCTCCCTCCCCCTCCCCAACTCTAGAATTTCTTTCTCTAGAATTGTCTCGTTCACAATCACTGACTTTCACTGGAGGCCGATCTTCTCTCAAGATAGTCAACATCGGCAGCTCAGGAAGGAATCCCATCCCTTGGAAGTTCATGCTCGAAGCCATGCCCGGCTACTACCACAGACACCCGACTGACAAGAGCCGAGGACCCATCTTCTTCAGGTCTCCCACAGCCTTCCCCCTCGCCTCCACCATCCTGCCCCCAGTTCCTTCCCCTCCCAATCCACCACCTCCTCCTCTGCTGTCGCTAAAGGAGATGTAGGTGGACCAGGAGCTCGACGGTCTACCGGCTGCTGGACTTGTTGCTGCATCAGCTCCCAGCGGTGGCGCATGACGTTGTTTCAAGGCTCAAGGTCTGTGGAAACTGCCAGAGAGCAGCGGTGAGGATGGGACGTGGCAGGGGGGCAAGGCAGATGCGGCGAGGACGATGAAGAAGATCAAGGACGCCCTTGGTGTGCTCAAGTACTTCACCATGAACGAGGTCGGCAGAGCCGGGAGGAGCACGAGGGGATGCTGATCTGCTTGTTGGCAGTGGTTTTTCGAGTCGGAGAACATGTACACGGTCCTGAAGGCCATGTCTTGGGAGGATATGTACTTCTTCGACTTCGACGTCAGGTAGGGCGGGCTGGTCGACACAGTCCTGCTCGCTGACGGCTTGCAGGAGTATCATTTGGGATGTTTACTTCACCATTTGGTCTCATGGCATGAAGGTAGAGTCTTGATATCTCTAGTGCAATCCTTGTGAAAGTTGACCTTCACAACTTCAGGTCTTTCTGCTCAAAGAAGGGCCAGTTTACTATGATACATCGAAACGATCAAGACTGTAGGAGCCGTCTCCTCCGTCTGTTAACACAACCTTTTGTGCTCTTCCCCATCGCGCAGAGACTCCTAGAGTTCTCATCTTGAACACAATTTTTGTCTAGCTAAACACATGTCGATATGCGCCATAACATCTCTCTGAATGTATTGTTCAGTCCCCATCCCCCATTCATCTGTCGGCCTGACCTCATCAGGAAACCTTCGGGTGCATACAGGGCATGCAACCTCCACGCTCTCTACCGTTGTCTCTGCTCCAAAGAAATCAGTCTTCATCCTCCCGGCCTCAGATCATTCTCACCATCACCACCACCATCACCCTCTTGCCAGCCTGAGTTTGCCACTGATGGCTGCTGGTCGGACTGTCTTGTCGACTCTCTGCTACATGTCGAGCTCTCGCTCTTCGCAATCCTTCTCGCATCCTTTCCCCTGCACCAGCACGCGCTCACTCACAGGCATGGCAGTGGAGCGCCAAGAACCTGCAGTTCTTCTTCTTCGGCGGTGACGGGCTCCTGGTCTTGGTGAAAGGCTGTCCGCAAGTAGCCTCGTGCACGTGCCACAGGCATCTGCCTCCCTTGCCGTCATCCCAGTGGAGTAACATGGAACAGAGATCGCACGTCACCTCGGATCAGAGCAACTGACCGTCTTCTTGTTCTTCCGGTACAGCCTTGCGTCGACAACCACGTTCAGAGCCGGGGAGGCCAAGATTCATGAGGGCACCTGCAGTCCTTCTCCGACGGCGGTCGATTCATCGACCTTCTCACCTGCTTGCCGCACGAGAAGCATTGCCACCAGTGCTGCCCAGCCCCCACCATCAGGTCGAACCTCCCAGGTACCGCATGCGCAGTCGTACCTGCCGGTGAAAGTTCACCTCCTGGTGGAAGGTGTGGTAGACAGCGACTGCGTATCCAGCCTGCGGCCTGTAGCTGAGGGAGCAAGAGCGTCATATCCTCCAGCATCAACATCATGATGAGACGTCATTTGCATACATGTCGCGCTTCGCCCCTCCGTTGATCTCTTCCATCTTCCCGAGAAACTTCGGGCCATGGTCCTCCCTGTCGCGGTTTCCGTCGGTAACGAACTGCCATGCATGGATCATCTCGTGCAAGAGTGTTTCTTTCACTTCTTTGCTCGTCCTGTACTTGAGAAGAGGCTCTGACAGAGCTATCCTACAGAGCGATTCTCTTCCCCGGTAGGAGCACTGTCCAGCGCACAGGGTCATCCGCCGACTCCACTCGACCATCACAGCATTTCTCTGCAGCATCCCGTTGAAGTATGTCTGATCGAAGTAGACGAACATCTCATGGACGTCAGGACACACATCCTCCAGCCCAGTATCATGTCCTAGCGCGTCAAACCCCCCAAGAGCCCATTGCTCCTCGTGGTCTAGTCCAGACATCGTTCTGATCCCCCTTGCTCCAGCACCGTTGGATGACGCAAAGAGAATCCCATGGGCTAGGGCTCTTCCTCCTCCCACACGCACAGCATGGTCTGAACCCTCGCTGAAAGAGCCACATGCCGCCGCCATGGCCGCCGCCGCCGTCGCCACCGCACGCCTGAGCATTATTGTGGTCAATCTCTGGTCAAATCTTAAAATTGCCCGGGCTTTCAGACAGCCTTCAGTAGTGCAGCCATGAGTGCAGCCTATCAGACCGGGCCCGGGCTGCTTGGGGATGAGGTCCTAGATCATCTAAGCAAATGGTATGCAGGGGGTAGTTTGAGCTTGTAATTGGGGGTAGGGGGTACCAGGGGTGAGGGGCAGGTGTACAGAACTCTAACGTAGCTCTGTCAAAAATAAACCAAAGGTACCTACAGTCAGAGGAAGGTAGGGGTACTTTTCCTGTTCTAGGGGTGGGGCCTTCAGAGGTAAGGTCCCGTGGCAGGGGTGGTAAATTGGGTCATGAGGTAGGGATGGTGGGGTTCTGAGCATCGGAGAAAGAGGGTGGGGTACTTATTTGCAGGGATGATCAGGGATGGGAGAAGGACGGGGTAATAGAAAAGCATGGCAGGGGTAGGGATAAAAATTGGGGTTCCATCCAATCGAGGTGGGTAGAGGTGTTGTATGGGATCGATGGTAGGGTTTGTGAAAGACCATCACCCCTATTTCAAATAGCTAAATTGGGGTACTGAAAACATAGGGGTACAAAAACATAGGGTAGGGGAAAATATGGTAGGGTGGCAATCCATTGAGATGACAAAGACAGGGGTGGGGTGATGCAGGCCATTCACGTGACGGCAGCCTCTGACATGGCGCTTCTTCTTGCAATGGCTCCTCCTGCCTCCTGCCCCTCCTGCTCCTCCTGCTCTGCCTGCCCCACCTGCTCCTCCTGCTCTGCCTGCTCTGATCCTCCTGGTCCCTCTCTCTCTCTCCTCTTATCTTGTGATTGCACAGATCTAGCACTACGTTGTCATCGAAGTTATGACCATCTTGAACCATTTCACAACGATCCTTTGCCTTTTGTAAGCGTGGACAGCGCTCCCTTGTTTTTGTGCTCTTCCTCGATCTCACCTATTTTAGGATCGTTTTTCCCATGCCTACCTGCTCATGCAATCTTTCTTGTTTTCAATTTCGTCTGAAAACTGTTCGTTCACAAACCACACATCAAAATTTGCTTGTTCGCAGCTTGATACTTGAATAGTTCGCCTTTCTTCAGCTGCGACACGCTAAGGATGTTAGTTTGTGAGATTCCATATCCATTCAATCATTGATGTCAATTTGCACGCACTTTTAGCTGTGATTTCCTTGGAAGAAATAGTTTCCACGAGCATTGCAGAGAATCAAATTCATGGGTTTAAGCTTCTTGCTACTGAATGTTTGAGTTGCGATAAAGTTTCTCACCCTTATAATTACAGGATGTCTTCCGATGATGATTATGATGCGGCTGACTCCGGGGCGGCTGACTGCACCCCCATCGAAGCAGGAGCTGCTCGCAAGGGAGGCTTCCTTGTGATCAAGGGACAGCCCTGCAAGATCGTCGACGTGTCCAAGGCTAAGGTTGGAAAGCACGGAGCAGCCAAGTGTCACTTCGTCGGCATCGACATCTTCACTTCGAAGAAGTACGAAGCTATCTGCCCTGCCTCTGCCCAGCTGTCCGAGCCCATCGTCACCCGTGCTGAGTACCAGCTTTGCGACATTAGCGAGGACGGGTTCTTGAGTCTCATGACCAAGGACGGCGATATGCGCGACGACTTGAAGCTTCCTGAGGATGAGACCATCTCCAAGAAGCTCCAGGAGCGCTTCGACGCGGGAACCGACACTCTTGTAACTGTCCTCATTGCCATGGGCAAGGAGCAGGTTATTGATATGAAGGACATGGCCAACTAGAGTGAAAGTGTGATGATTGCTTGTGCGAGATGACAGCTGTTTCTTCAAGCTGGAGCTTCTGTTTGTAATGTTTAAGGCTTTGATCGTTGTTCGAGGGATCCGTTGAGAGTTCATTTTGCTTGAATAAATCATTTTCGCTTCTCGACATTGTTTACTCAACCCACCTGACCCTTGGCGCTCGGAACTCTGGTTGTTCGATGACTTGATTGAATTCAACTTCTGCTCGCTCCATCAAAACGTTCGAAATGTGGGTAGAGGAATCGCGAAGCAGGGGAGGGGGCAATGAGGGAAAGCAAAGGTACCTGGGAAAACATCCATGACGGTGGCTGGCTATAGTCGAAATCAGTACACGAAACGATGTCAGGTGGAGCGTGTGGTGGAGAGGGGGCAAGGGGAAGGCGGGGGGAAGGTACCTCGTGCGCTCTCCTCACGTAGAAGGTGAGCTTGTCCTCAATCTCTCTTTGCTGCAGATGAGAGTCCGGGTTCGGGATGAATTGAAGCTCGAGGTTGTAGGCGCCCGATGGAAGGCTGAGGATGGAGATTTTCCCATGGAACTGAGCAGAGCAGATCTCCAAGATGGGGAAGAGATTCAACCAGCCTCTCAAGCAGCCTTGCCAGGGAATGTCGAGGGATGTCGTCTCCACCTCCATCACGATACTGCAGTCTCCTCCGTCCTTTCGAGACAGAGAGAGAGGGAGGAGGGAGGAGGGAGGAGGGAGGAGGGAGGAGGGAGGAGGGAGGAGGGAGGAGGGAGGGAGAGTTAGCAAGGGGATAGCTTCTCCTCCCTTGTCCTCACCTGGCAGAGCTCCTCCACAACCAAGATCTCACCATCTCTCGGCTGCAGCCACTTGACCTACACGTGCTTAAGAGGAGGATGACAGGACCTTGAGCAGACCTTCCCCTCATGAGCATGGAGGGGAACAAGCGGAGTGTATCGAGGAAGTCCTCGCACCTGCCAGGCTCTCCTCATCCTCCTCCCTCCACTCTTGTCGTATGCTCTAGCTTCACCATGCTGACCGCCGGATGGCCGAAGATGCCGGAGTGCCGGTGGAGCTCCTTCCTCGTGAGGACGTTGAAGACGTAGACGATCCGATCGAGGTAGAGGACGTGGCGACCTGCCATCTTCGTCCTCCATCAGAGGGAACTTTCGCAATGCACCTCATCTTCACCTCTACGAGGGGCCAGATTAGCGCAGGCTCCCACACCGGGGGCGGGAGGAAGGTATCTACGAACTTGCGCTGAGACTTGAAGTCTACCCTGCTCTGCATGTACATCTCGTCGAGTTTGACGTGCTCTGGCTTGCCGCGATCGAACAGGGAGGTCAACAGGACGTCGCGGTTGAGGTTGGACGTCAAGTCGTGAGTGTGGATGCCGCGAACGAGACCAACCTAAGGATCCACAGTCACTTCCCTCCTCCTCCTCCTCCCACGTGTCACACCTTGAAGGAGTACGGAGGACCGAAAGTCCAGTGGCCGATGTAGCGGGCTCTGTTGCCCTTCACCTCTTCCTCGCTCATCCCTCGCACATGAGCCTGAACCTTTCCGGACGGGTATTCAATCGCCCTGCCGTAGGTGAGCCAGACGTTTCCTCGGTATGCCCTCGCGATCTCCCACAACGATCGTCGCCCGTGCAGCCAGTCGCCCCCCTGGAGGAGGAGGACGACATCGGAGTCTTGCAATGTTTCCAGTGAGTACAGGATGTGGTAGATAGGCGAGTACTCCTCCCTGTCTCCCTTCCCGGATACATGCAGTGTAAATTTGCCGCCTGTGTCGACGGCAACATTCAGTTCCTCCATTACATGTCGCACGTCCTGAAGACTCGCATTGTTCGCGGCCACTATACACCTCCATCCCTCGTAGGATTGTCCAAGGATGCTCTCCAACGTCCGCGCGAGGAAGTGCCGGCTGACTTCCCTATCTACTAGCAAGAGGATGATCAAGTCCGGGCTTTCAGCTAAGTCAGCCGAGTCAGCTAAGGCGTCCTCCTCCTGCTCTGCAGGGGTGAGCGAGACGTTGCATGGTCGCACCTGGCTGACTGGCCGGTATCTCCCCTCCTCCACTTCACGGAGCAGGGGAGAGATTTCTCTCTCCCACATCCAGAGGAGAGGATCCAGGTAATGCCGCTGAGCCGTCTTGAAGTTGCTGCGGGCGAAAGGGAGCAACTCGTCGTAGAGCATCGGAGAGAGACGGCCGAGGATCTCGTCCAGCGCCCTCACGTCCTCGAGTAGGATCATCCCCCTGGTATCAAAGTGCTCGTGGATGGAGGGGCAACCCCAGTAGATTGGAACCGTCCCTGTGAGGAAACAATCGAGAAGTTTCTCTGTGAACCAGCAATCCTCCTTCACATTCTCTATAACGATGGAGAACATGAAGTCCTGCAGCCCCGCCGCCTTGTTGTCCTGCCATCCTCGCTCGCTTCCCTCGTACCCGCTCGCAAACAGCCCGTCGATCCTCGAGGAGAAGGAGCGGATGACATTGTGCCGCATCCTGTGTCCCTCCATCCCTCCCTCGTCGTAGCCCTTCCTCGACGCTATGATGGACACCCGTCTGGTCTTGTTGTGCATCTTGTGGAGTTTTCTCCGGAGATAGGTCGTCCCGAACGGGCAGAAGCGGAACTTTCTGCTATCCGCTCTCACGTATTCCTGCATGTGCGTGAAGATGAGATCGAACTTTTCCCGCGCAGCAGACGCCACGGCATATGAAGCGGAGGAGAGCTGCCGCGGCTCTACCAGCCAGGCTACTTTCAACGCACTGCTGTAGTTGAGGACTTCATGGCCTCCAACGAAGGGACTCTGAGCAAGAGCAGCGGAGCTGCACTCGTCGTAATCATCCTGGAGCACAAAATCCGTGTGGATCACCGCTGAGATCTTGTTCTGGGCGAGCGCACTCTCCTTCATCGACTTGAGATGAGGAAAGGGGCATCCGTTGTCTCTCACTATCCCAAACATCCTTCTCTGACCGAGCCCGAACCTGGTGACGTCGTCATTGCCCAGGTCCTTCCTGCACTCGCCTTCCGATCCATCTCTGCATGCTGGCAGACACCTGTCCTTGCTCCCGACCAGGAAAGTTGTATCGTACACATCCACAAGAAGAATAAGAGGAGTCACGGATGTGTTGGAACCGCTCTCTCTCCTCTTCCCTCTCACATCCAGCATGAAGGACGATAGCGACAGCAGCAGCAACGCTGGAAACCTCTGCCTCCCATATAAGACCTTGAGGGGCATGGCTTTGAGCCGCCCGCCAATTCACTCTATCCTCCTCATCATCCACGATAGAGGACAAGTCTTCATGCTTCAAACGTTCACCGTCCTCCCTCCTTCGCCGCAGACTCCCTCCTGCTGCTGTACTGCCATATCGGGACGGATCCAACTTTACGGAACTAGCTGAACAAGCCCGCCTCAAAGTATTACTACCAGCTTAGAATAAGACAGCAAAAATGGAACAGGGGCAGATCTGGAAAGTGTCACTGGCCAACGGGCCGGGCCGGGCCGGGCCTCACACCCGCCGGTGCTGGTTGACTGAAAACAGTCCATTGCACTACGATTCAATAAAATGTTATAATATTTCAGTACAAGATTTGTAGGAAAATTGTATTAAAACTATTTTATGAAGTGGTATATAAAGCATACTATGATTTTACATCTTGTTTTTTATTCGGCCCCTGTAAATCCATTGTCTGTCTCGAAATATTATTCTTAGATTTCAAATTTGGAGAGTCCAATTGACATTCAGACACTGATTTCCTACTGGCGGGGGCATAGAACGAAAATGGGGAAAGAGGGAGAAGCGGTGAGGGGAAGTGAACGAGGGGTGATAGTACAGGGATGAAGCAGCAGCAGCAGCAGCAGCAGCAGCAGCAGCAGCATGTCGAAGAGGACATCAAGGATGTCAGGATGTCAGTTGTAGATCAGGAGAATGACAAGAGAGCTCGAGTTGAGTGCGATGGGCCAGCATTTGTATTAGCTGAGAAAACGAGCGAGGGTATGGAAATCAGGAGGATGGCTGAAGAGATGATGCGGTTTCCTGCTACTCCTCTGGGATACATGAGAAGAAATGCTATGCTAGTTTCCAATAGGAGTCAGAGGAGGAGAAAAAGAAGCAGTCAGATATCAGGGAGTTTTGTAAGGAGAAGAAATGGCGATAGCGAAAGATCATTTAAAGACAAATAGGAGAAAATTGAAGAAGGCTCATTTGTCCACAGTCTTTAGAAATATGCTTATCCTCACGTGCTCAATGCGTGACATGGTGTTGAAGATCTTGTTAGGAGTTGCCAGGAGCGGCAGGAGAGAGATTCCGAGGCGACATGCTGTGAGCGGCCAGGCATCAGATGCGGTGACGATGATGCACGGATGTGCTGTGGTCCGTCGCCCAGCACGAAGCTTGTGATAGCTAGAGGATGAAGAATTGTTTCGGGTTGGAGGTCCTTCTTGAGAAGCTCTTCTCTGTAACAGCGAGGAAATTTTCCTTCCTGCGCAGAATCTGGTTGGTCCTCAAGACGGCATGCATGTCTTATCCGGATCCCTTCCTGCATGCCAGGGACAGCAAGCTCAAGTGTCAGATAGCGGACGCATGCCACTCCAAGAAGATGACGTTGGTGGGTCCCAGAGCTTGCATTCCTATCCTTGCATCATCGGCAGAGCGACCTGACCCCAACTCTTGCAGATTCTCGATCTCGACGAGACTCTCGTCCACAGCAGCGTCAAGGTGAGCGTGTCCTGCTGCCTGTCCTCGCCGAGTGATGCCTGCGATCCCTCGCAGCCCCTCGACTACTACAATTGGAAGATTCACATCCCGGCGTCCGGCGACCAGCGCAGCTGCACCTTCTATGTGAGTTGGAAGAGTTTTGTGTCCTCCCCGCGCCGTCCGGCAGCGCCTCCGCAGCCTCTCCTGTCATGGTTGTCTTCAGTCTTTCCTGACATAAGTCTTGTGCTGTTTCCAGGTTGCTGTTCGCCCCCACACGTCCTTGTTTCTGCAAGCTATGTCAAGGTGGTACGAGGTGGTTGTTTTCACCGCCTCCCTCCAGGTGGTTGAAATCTTTTTCCTCCTGCCCCTCCCCCAACCCCCCCCGCCCCCCCCCCTCGCTTTCCCCTCGTATCTCGGCCATCCTCTCTCATCTCGTTCCTCTGTCCTCTCGTTGCTCTCTTTCCCCCTCCCTCCCTCTCTCTCTTCTCTTGGAGCTTACAGCATCTGCAGCACTACGCTGATCCTGTCATCGACCTCATCGACCCTGGAAAGTGCATCTCTCGTCGTTTTTCCGACCTTCCTGTCGGGTGGAGCAGGTGAAGATGTCCGTGGAGATGACTTCAATGATAACGACGAAGATGATGATATGGAATTTGTGAAAGATGAATGATGATACTGATTATGATGATGCTGATTATGCTGCTGCTTCTGCTGCTGCTGCTGCTGCTGCTGCTACTGATGATGATGATGATGATGACGACGACGACGACGACGATGCATTCGGCACTCTCACCAACATCGCAGGGAAATTTTCTCAAGGACATCTCGGTTGTCCGGCAGGTAAGGCGACACTTGGCTCTTTTTGTGTCTGTTGAGTTTGCTTCTGCTAGGACCTCAGCCAAGTCGTGATCGTTGACAACTGTCCGGCGGCATACAGTCTACATGTCTTAACATGATGTGCAACGTTTGCCGGTGGCTGAAGTAGACGAGCAGGCAGACAACGGCATCCCTATCCAGACGTGGCACAACGACCCCAACGACGATGCTCTCCTCTCTCTGCTACCTGTGAGTGATAGATGTTGATTGATTGATTGAGGGCTGGTAGGCAATGGAAGGGATCGGATGATAGTGATGGAGATGGCGATGATGAGCACGATGATGATGATGATGATGATGAGGAGGAGGAGGAGGTTGTGGTGGTGATGGAGGAGGAGGAGGATGATATGAAGGAGATAGTTGTGGTAATGATGAACATGGATACGATGACAGTGGAGCCTGTGAAGATTGGGTGCATTGAGATTGGGTGGATGAGCTAGCAGACAAGGAGGGAGGGAGAGAGAGGAGGCAGTGCAGCAGCTGCTTCTCATACTGGTCCTAGATCCTCTCGGGTCTGGTGCTTCTCAAGGATGTGCGATCCATTCTCTCATTGCGAAGGTTCGGCAAGAGTGAAACACATCATTGACGTCGCTGACGTGTCACCAACTCGACTGCAGGATGGGCAACAACGGGCGAGCTGTAGTGAAGCAAGTGAGCCAGTGAGCTTGCGAGGGGATTGGAGCAGCTGCCAGCCCGGTCTCATAACATGAATGTTTCGACGGTGTCAAGTGTCAGAATGTCAAACTTTGTGTCTGTTATTCCTTTCTGTCTATTCTTAACGCAAGCCTGTTCGCGGCGGCGTCCAGCTCCATGTGATGCACAGATGTTGAAGAGTGAAGCGATTAAAATGTTACGAGTGATGACGACCTCCGACATCTTCCCTGTCCCATCCACGTGACAGGTCATAATGCTGTTTCAGCTCCCTGATTCTGCGAGGATCCATTTCTCCGAACGTTGTGCTAGTTGTCAGAGGCCCAGGCTTAAAATCGTTGCCATGTGGCCCTCTGCAACAGAATACATTCATCATTGTTGCCAACAAACAGACATCCAACATACTGGCGTGTTGATCACTTCCACGAATATATTTTCTAATTTTACTGATACACTATGTGAGAACGATGAGGTCACCGCTAAAGGCTATGGCTACATGATGCTTCCATCTCATATACAAGTGCTTCCCATCCTTAGGCGACGAGGGTTCCGCTCATATCATTTACATTTCTTGTCTGCATCTGCAGTTGAGAGACTGTCTTCTTGAGCTCATTGATGTTGTCCTAACCCCGCACGTCAAAGATCAACACCTCCTGTACCTCCCACCTCCTTACCTGCAGCTCACGGCAGTGCTTCCGCTCCTTCAGCAGCAGCTCTTGTGCGCTCAGAAGCTCGTTCACCATGTTCGCATGCTCGGTAAGAAGCGCCTGAGTGAGAGTCTGCAAGAACGGGGAAGGAGTCAGCTGGGGCTGACGCTGTCGAGAAGTCGAGCATCTCGTCACCTGCATGCTCTGCAGCTCGTGGATGGCAGTCCATGCAAGAGACTCCTCTCCTGCATCTTTCGTGCTACTCGCCCGATCCCCGCGTGCAGAATCTTGTGAAGCAGCGTCATCACTGAACTCCGTCTTCGGGACTCGATTCTGCAAGTTCTGAATCCAGTTGGAAGTGAAGAGGGACGCAGGAATGCTGGATCCACTATGGTTTGATGCAGGAGATGCCCTGTCTTCATCCTCCGACCCACGGTGAGAGCTCTGATTGTCCAAGAAGCCACCTCTGATCGCTTGATTCAAAGGCCTCAGAAGCGCTTGAGATCCTAGGAAGCTTGTTACAAAGTTGCATGTAACCCAGCAGTAGACCACTCTTACCTGATTCCCAATAGTTGTAGTCCGGCATGTCCTCGAAGGCATCCTGCAGAAGCAGTAAGCAACGAGTCTACAAGCAATCAATAGTCGTCACGTTGTTCGACGAGGTCAAACTCCTATCGTCCATCTCCCCGGACACGTCGCAGTTTCTCACAACATTCTCCCAGATGGAATTTCTGCGCGCGAAGATGTCGTCCCTTCCCATCTGATTGGACAACTGTCCGGGAAATGTCATGAGGAGAAGAGAGTCCTAAGGTTTGGATTACCGCTGCGATGGATGCTGCAGATCGACTTTTGTCGTCGATATGAAGTCCTGCTGTCGATGCCTGAACCGACATCAGCTGAGAAGTGCACGACGATTGATCAGCACCTGTGACATCTCTGAAGGACAGATGGAAGAATTGTCATCGCTATCAAGCATGCTGTTGACGTTGCGGGACTGCAAGATATACATGAGAACAGCAACAATCTCCTTTATCATCGACAGGTCACCTCCAACAAGTCGCAAGCTCCATCTATACCGCTTAGCTCTCGTTCCAAGTCCTGAAGGTTGTAAGGAGAGACAAGTCGTGGAGCAGTATTGCACAACCTGAAGTTGATCGTTGCTGCCTCCTTCTTTCCTTGTGTTGATAGCGCGGCATCGCTCCAACATCTTGATCTTTCGATGAGGCCACTTCTTGATTCCAATCTTTCGACATCCCCTGCGACGCACCAACGTGTCAATCATCCCCTCCCACATTCACATGACATCAATTGATCTCTAACTCACTGTTTGAGCGCAGTCGTACAAACCCCAATCTTCTTGGCGGCAACGCATAGTGGCAAGTGAAAGTGTTTCTTCAGCAGCTCTGCGCTCAGCACGACTGGGAAGGCTTCCGAAGGATCGTGGGCCTCAGGATTCTTCCTTCTCTTGATCCTGGGCTTGACGACTTGCTGTCTTTGCTGCCCAGAGAGACTGCAACCGTTGTCGGACATGGGAAGGATTGAAACATATCCATTGCCCAGCCCCGCACTGTCTCCCATGCCAGCGCCTTCCTTTGCCATCTCTAGACTTGCCGTTGCAAGGATTAAGCAGATTGCGCCGTTGTGCCAATACCTGCTACAGCAAGCTGTATACTGTCTGGATGAATTCGACTGTTCCCTAACAGAAGCACTATGCCAGACAGTAGAACCAGACGTCGATCTGTACACAACGGTCAAATCACGCTTGTTCATGCAAGATCATTTTCAAATATAAAGTCAACCAAAACAGCAAAACTGACATACATGAAAGCGTCTGAAATGGTAAAGATGAGCATATACAGGGGTATTCTTAGGTAATACAACGAGGACCAACATAGGGGACTGGGGCCCACTGCGACAAACGTTGACAAACGTTGAGTAACTTTGTGATATATGCTGGCAAACAATGACAAGATTCTCAACGGTCTATTGACACTATTCAACTAGGCCTGATCCTCACGCTTGTTTGGGATAGAGAGACAAGAACTGGGAGGCCCAAAAAGCACTTGCAGCAGACGCAAACTTGGGCATACAATGGACAGTATCAGATTCACTGCATGCAATTCAGCACACCCTGCTGGCATAGGCTTAGCAGAATTATGCAACAATCACAATGAGTCAGGCAGCTCTGACGACATGGGTATCAATGACTTCTGATGCTTTCTCATGCACAGTGAGGGACTAACAGCAAACGGGTACGGAGCACGTCAGGACATGCAGGATCCACGTAATCACTCAGAAAGGAAGACAAGAAGCGCTTCTAGAAAGCTAGCTCATGCGCCCGAGCTACAATGTGCTGAGGGCCAACACGAAAATCCCAGACAGGGGACGGAGGGGGAGGGGGTGCAAAGGGGGTGAGACTAGGCGACGGACAGCATGCGCAGGAACAAGCAAGCGGAAAGCGTCGAGGACAGGAGGGTGCACGGGTCCAAGTACCCCACCCTTTCCCAAAGATTAGAGGGTCAGTTACGGGTGCTTATTATCTCGTTGACGGTGGGGTGGTGGAGAATGGGGAAGGGTCTACAAAATCCACCTTATAGCTGGATCGTTGCGATCTCCCTATCTCCTTCATATACGGACCACCCCATTGTCGGACCACCCCTATACTGATAAGCCCATATACCCCGTGCCATTGAGCTATAAACACACAGCAACAATGGGAGATAGGGGTAGTTCATTGAGATCAGGTCGGGTAGGTACCCACCCCTACAACAGCACTTGTGCCGATTATGGCACTTGTGTTAAAACAAAAAAAAAGGCTTAAAACTAAATCTCAATTTTTGGTATAAAATATGGTAAATAATAATTGAAAAATCTTGGTGGGTCGACAGGAGGATTGGGGGTGGGGTACAGTCTAGCACAGTGCACAGACTATCGTTGGTGTGGGAATCTAAGGTGGAATATCTTTGGGATATGGTACAACCAACAATAAACTTTGATTGGAGCACTAGTTGAAAGAGGGCATCACTCAACCATGGCCATTAATGACGTGCTTGCTCAGTCTCCCATGCAACGAACAGGTCGTGTCCACGTCGGTGGAACCGTTCCGGGTGAAATGACCGGTGCAGTCAAATGAAGAAGCCATATGGGGGGTAGGGTCCTTTAAGGGAGTTAAATCAATTTAAATGAAAGGAGGTTAAAGTACAGTGCTTCACAGTACCGATCATCGGACTACCCCAGTAGGTCACAACTGACCGGAGAGCTCCTTCTATCTACCCTACCTCCTTTTTGTAAGAGCATCACATGGGTAGTAGTAGGGTACATGGCCAGACCAGGATTTATTCGCCATAAGGTTATTTGAAAGCATCAAGCTGCATGCATTTGTGTTGATGAGATTCAAAATACTAATATAGAGAGACAAGTTTCAAATTTATTGACAAATTTCGTTTGAATGACCTTCTTATTGGGAAATACTCGCTTTCGATGCTCTACGCCGGAGGAAAGCTAGAAGACGGTGTTGAACGACTTGAAACGAAAAAGCGTCCTTTCGTGTTCTATTATAAAATAGTTTTAGTCTCACTGGCAGGGACCTCCCCGAGGCACCGAGAAACAGGTCGGGTTGGAGTGGGGGGCAGGATACAAGATTTCAGGCGCTAACTTTAATGGTGGGTGGGTAGTTGAAAAGTACATGAGGGTGTTGAGTGGGGAAGGGTGGTGTTTCCGAGACACGGTTGGGAAAAGAGAGGTGGGGTGGTGAACTATCTGAATAAGGGTTAGTGGGAGGGGGTCATACACATCTTGGTCTCCTTTACTGCACGGCACGGTGGTCACATTCAAAAATTAGAAAAAAAGAATAAGAAGAAGATCGGACCTCTCCGTAGGATAAGATAGGGGTGATGTGAAGATACCTCTTTGGGGCACCGGTATAAACCTATGAGAAATGACCCTTATCTTGCCTATCCTATCCCTTGCTGACATCACCCCACCCCTTCGACAGGATGAGCATCGCTTGGGAGCATGACCTGAGTAAACAGGCCCCGGAACGACTAGCCTACTACCGTGCCACTGAGTAACTGAGTGCAATCGGATGATCGGACGGGCCGGGCCAGGCTTCGCGGCCGGGCGCCGCCGCCGGTTGCTCAGTGCCAATCGGAAGCCCGGGCCGTCGGCGGCGACGGTCCGCCGGCTCCCTGTAAATTCCAGATTCCAGTTTGTAAACTTGAATGAGTTAATCACTTTTTTTTTCTTCTCTCTTCACTGAAGTTCCCGGCCCCCGAGTCCCGGTTTCCCCTCTTTCACTCAAGTTCAACGGAGTCCACGGTCCTGACTCAGTTCATTGAAGTCACTGCGCACTCAGTGATCGGAAGTCACCGTCACCCGAGTCAACGGTTCCCCGGACCCGGGACCGTGACTCGCCGCCCCCGGCGGCGCGGCCGGCCGGGACTCGGAGTCCCGCCGGGCCGGCGGGCAGCCTGGACGATCGGACTCCGCCCGGCAATGCCGGGCCGACGGGTGACTGTCACCGCCGCGTCCGGCAATTCGATGCCATGATTGAAATGATCATTCTTATTCATCGTCATCTGAGCATCCCATTCTTATCGTCTTCTGAGCCTGGCAGATCAGATGACGGTGAAGAATTGACGTTGACTCGGGCAGTGCAGAAGACAGGCCGGTGTCACTGTCACGATGGCCGAGCGTTCAACTGCAGCATCACTGTGAAGCCGCTTAAACTTCGGCATGACACTCGGATCATACGGTAGACTGTGACCGTCGCATGAGCGGAGCCTCAATCATACAGCTGAGGGAGGCCCTCCTCTTTGTAGCTCTGCCGCGCTACATGGCGGTCTGTGGCGACTGAATAGCATAAAGGGTCGTCATTGGACTCGACTTTCAGAGCCTCAACAACAGTGTCCTGACCCTGACCAGAACTTGACTCGACAAGTTTTATTCACGGTGTCCAGAGCCGAAAGTTTCTTCAGTGAGTCCGAAGTTCACTGTGACTCACCGTCGGATGTCACAGGCCCAGTGAAGGGTTTTGCGGTTATGACACATCATGACTGGCACAGCCTGTGCCGAGGGCCTGCCAGTGCCCACTGTCATGGCAGCTGCCGGAACATCGTCATCTGTGCCACTACTAGACTAGTGGACTGAGTTCGAGCCAGGGGCAGACCGGTCAGTCATGGCAGAAGAACTCTTCATTCCAGCGATCCAGCAGCATGCTCGCGCGGTTCCACCTGCGAAATCAGTCAACCGATTGGCTCGTGTCTGGTCAAACACAACAAGGATCCTCCTCCTCCTCCTCCTCCTCCTCCTCCTCCTCCTCCTCCTCCTCCTCCTCCTCCTCCTCCTTCCCCCACTGAGTCTCTTCGAGTCCCTGCACTGCAAGAGGCGATCGGATCACCTTGAGACGGGTCTTGCTCTCCTCCTCCTGGCTTCCAGCACCATAGCTGCCGATCGCAATGCAGACAAGACCCTGTGGCGGAGGGTGACCCTCCTTGCCTCCTCTGAGCTCGGCTCAAGGCAGACCCTTCCATCCTTGGTGCTCACATAGAACCCATCAGCCACAAGTTGCGACCAGGTCGGGGCGCGATCCGCTCCACCTGACCTGGGACGCTGGAGAGGAAGCGAGGAGACATGCTCGGCTTGCAAGCGAGTCAGCCCGTCCCTCTCTTCGACCTCTTCCTCGTCTATGGTGGAGTTGCGAGCTGAGAGCGCTCCAGCATACGACGCAGCCTCTCCTCTACAACTCTCACGCTCTCCAACGGAGCCGCCCTGTATGCGAGGAGGCTGCTGCCTGCCTCCCGTTTCAAACTGCAGCAAGGATCGGTTGGAGAGCCACTGACGAAGGTTGGCAGCTACAGGAAGTGAGCGGAGGAGACGGCAGCAAAGCTGGATTCTGACGGAGGAGGTCGGTGGCGTCGAGGCCGAGCCCGGGGGACTGGTGAGGAGGAAGCAGCGAGCCTGGTCGCGGGAGACTTGATCCACTGAGAGCTTGACGGCTCGGCCATCGAAGACGACGAACTTGCTGTGAACTTCTACAGCAACTTCGGCTCGCCCGACGAACCTGCTAGTCCCAGAGGAAGGCTCCTCAAATACTTCCACCATCAGACGGCAAGATCGGCCGGGGAGGGCGAATCTGAACCTCTCATTCCATTCCCATGTGCGCGCTCCTCCCCCCCTCTGCTCCTCCTCCTGCCGCCCAGCATTGCTGACTGACGTCCTGTACGCGCCTTGCTTGCAGTCAGAGCTCAGCAGGGTCATCAGTGCAAAGCGTCGCCTCCTCTCCTCTCCTTCGGTGGCGCCAACAAGCTCGAAAATTTTCATGTCCAGCCACCCAAGACACCCAGCCGACGATCCGTCAAGAGCAGCAAGTGCCAGCCGTCTTCCATGCTGAACAGTCTCAGAGATGCTACGAACGTCCTCCTCCTCCTCCTCCTCCTCCTCTTCGTCGGCAGCCTGGCAACCCTTAAACTGGTCCCAAGGAAGAAACGACAGGTCCTCAAGAGTCCACGTTGTTCTCCCCAATCTCACGAGTTTGTGCACGTGGACCTCTACATTTTTCTCTGCTCGCACTATCCTTCCCCATGACGTCTCCTGCGAGGCAACATCCTCAACTTCCCGATTGCTCCTTACCAGCTCGGCCAGCGGGCCGGGAGAGCTTGACGGCTGCTCGGCAAGAGTTCTGAAGGAGGAAGCAGAGAAGGAGCGCTGCAAGGAGACATTGTGAAAAAAAGAGGAGGAGGAGGAGGAGGCAGAGGGCGCTCTGTGTGTCTCGTTGACCTCCAACAACTTCCCTTGAGAGCCTCTTGGGATCCCCAGGACACTCAAAACCACGTCATCGCCTTCCTCGAGTGCAGCTTCGTCGACGACTGAAGCAGCGTCCTCTTTGGGGAGAGACTCGGCTGTGCTCTTGTCGCCTTGCCCTTGCTCTTGCGCTTCCTTACTTCCCTGCTCTTCACTGAGCGGCGAGTACAGGCGGAGCAAGAGCGCCGCGTCCTCTGGGTCCTCGACATCGCACGCGAGTGCTTGCAGCTTCTCTGCCGCGACGGACTCAGGCAGTTCCTGGAGGGAGACGAGAGGAGACAGGCGGAGCAGATCCCGTCCGAGGGACCGAGGAGCAGGAGGGGAGGAGCTCCTACGGAGGTCCTCCACCAGCTCCTTGAGCCTTGCAGCTTCCCGAGCCATCTTGCTCCTCCTCGCTCTTATCCCCTCTGGAGCGAGCAGGAGATCGATCTTCTGTCGGTACCCCCGCACTCGGATGAGCTCCAAGTGGGACCGCAGCCCTTGGACGATGCGACGGGCGACGGAGGGGAGGATGGGGATGTCGAGAACGGACGTGAAGTTGTCCAGAATGAACTGCTGTAGCTCGTCCTGCTCCTGCCCCGCTGCGAGCAGCAGCAGCCTGTCGACAAACTCGTGGCATCGACTGTCCGACGCGGCCCGGTGGACGCCTGCGGACAAGCTTGTCAGCGCCTCCCCTCCCGAGCATCATGACAAAACCCACAGGTCTGCTGATCTAGTTCTTGCTCCTCCTCCCTCACTGACAGGAAGCAGTCCATCCCACAGACGTTGATCTGCAGGTTTCCTTCGCGGTCGATTGCCTGATTGAAAGCGGAAAACTTCTCCACCACGAAGTTTCTGCTCTCGAGGCATCTTGTGATCTGCTGGAAGCCGTGCTGGAGTATCTTGTTCCCGTTCATCCACAGGCTCTTCAGCTGTCGGTTGTACGACAGGCCGTCCAGGAGGTCGGAGATGTCCACGTCATCAAGGTTGTTCTCACTGAGATCGAGACATAGCAGGCTCTGGTTGTCTGCGAGCGAGCTGGCGATCGTTCCGAGCCCTCGGGTCAGGTTGTTGTGACTGAGGTCGAGATTCCTGAGGGTGGTGTTGTGATCCAGACACCTTGCGATGGCACCGGCGTGCCTCCTGTCCAGCTGCAAGTTCTGCAAGGAGAGCTCGTGGATGGAGCTGTTGAGCGCGAGGGAACGCCAGAAGAAGTCGAAGGAGCAGAGCTCCTGCTGATAGTCCACGGACAGATACTTGAGCGATGTGCAGGCGGCAATGCTGCTGAAGAGGTCGTGGATGGCAGCCAGCTCATCACGGCCCATCCTGCCCTCTGGCGACGAGAGTTTGAACTTTGACAGATCCAGCACTTGGATGGCGTTCGTGTCTACCGCTCTGACCAGAGCCTCTGTAACCCTGCCTGCTTCTTGTATACCGTCCTGCTCTTCGTCGTCATCGGCCTGCGGCAAAAGTTCGACATCCTCTTCCTCTTCTCCCTCCTCCACTAGCCAATCTTCCGCTCGGAAAGTTTCGTCCTCGCTGCCAGCCTTGAGGTGGCTGAAGAGGTAACTTTCGTCCAACTCAGGGATGAAGAAGAGCAGGAACTGCAAACATATGAATTGATGGGAAAAGACGAGGAGAGAGAGAGGAGAGAGAGGAGAGAGGAGAGAGGAGAGAGGCAACCAGCGCAGGAGCGAAGAGGAGGCCTACGAAGAGGAAGAGGGCAGAGGAGGGCAAAGAAGAAGAGGAAAGACGAGAGGAGACGGGAAGAGATAGGAGGATAGGGGAGGGGTGGGGAGGAGGGGGAGATAGGAGGCAATGCTTTCAACCTCAAGGAGCTCCACAGCTTCGACATTCTCGTCGTTATCGCGGCCCTGCTCGTCGCCCATCAACAACGACAAGGGGAAGGAGTTTTCATTCACCTGCCCCATGAAGAGTGTGTGCGCCAGGTCGTCCAACTCGCCGGGGTACCTCCTGTCCAGTCTGCGACCCTTGCAGAACTGAGCGAACCTCTTGAGGGAGAGCCGGTCGGGGGTATCCTTGAGGTGATGAAAGATGACTTCCAGGTCAATCTTCTGCTTCAAAGGGTCCAAGGACCTCCTCGACATGGTCGGCGTCCTGAGCAGCGTCTTCAAGTGCCGGTGATCGGCGATAGTCCTGCCCCCCTGTCCCAGGCCCTCTTGCAGCATCCAATCCAGGGTGACCTCAAGGACTTTGCCAACGTGATAAGATGAGAGCTGCTTGCTCAACATGTGGGAGGGAAGGCGAGACATCAGAGTCGTACTCATCTCCTCCACCATGTCCTGACGTTCGTCCAGGGTCCGGAAGATCCTCTCTAGCTCTTGCAGCGCTTTCTCGCGCTCGCGCTTCCCCTCCTGCCCTCCCCCTTTTCGACTGAGCTGCAGGGCAAGGAGGTGGGACAACTTCTCTTCCTGCAGCCTCTGAGTGTCGATGAGCAGCGTCGAGAAGTCGACCTCCCTCCTCGCCATCTCAGCGTCAATGGTCCTCAAGACCCTCAGCAGCTGCTTTTGCTTGAGGTAGCTGGAGAACAACCTGTCTGCTGCTCCGTCCGAGACGAGCGGCCGGCAGTCTGTGAAGGAGACGAGCCCTCTCTGACAGCAGGAGAGGACGATGCTCGGGGAGCTGTCTGTGGAGACATCGCGCACGAATACTATGTCTGCATCGTGAACCCTCTCCTCAACAGCCTCCCACGTGGGAAACTCTCCCTCCTCTGCTCTCCCTCGCAGCTGGGCCTGAGTCCTGGTGCGTACGTGCTGCAGCCTCTTCCCGCCGGGTCCCCTCACGGTTGGAGAGAAGAAGAGCAGGCGGTTGGAGACGGTGACGACGAGGAGAGGAGAGGAGGAGGGGCCAACGAAGCAGAGGCCCTTCACCTCCTCCGCTGTCTCCACAAGGTGAAGGGGGACGAGCTCGAGCACTTGCAAGAAGTCATGCTCTAGAAGCTGAAGGTCTGCCAGCGCCACGTTGCCCAGGATGCCGGAGGGCGAGGAGAGGAGGGACTCGCTGTCCTGCTCCAGCTGCTCCACGAGAACGTAGCCGTCGGTGTAGCCTTCTCCTCGGAGCAGCAGCTGGGCTCCTGGTGGGGGCGAGAGAAAGTTCTTGAGGGGGATGTCGTGGGAGACAACCTTGTGCTCTGCAGCGCTCTGACTCGTGATGAGACAGTGGAGGGGAGGGAGGAGGCGCCAGAGCTTGACGCCGAACTGCAACGAGGCCGATCACCAGAGGAGGAGGAGAGCTGGGAGATGGAAGAAGTGATAGAACAGCGGGTTTGTTGGGATTGACAGCAGTGTGAAGGAGAGAGAAGGAGGAGAAGGCGAAAGGGATATAACAAAGTTCAGTCTGGAGGAGCAGAGGCAGTGGAGAGGTGGGGGCAAGTGGAGGTGGGAGAGATAGGGTAAGCAGAAACACCTGTGCTGGCATCTTGGAAACAGTGACATCGACTGTCGTCTCGCGGCCTGTTCACAATCAACAAGAGAGCATGGAGTAAGTGGTCGGGAGTGGAGAAACGAGAGGAGGAGTCAGCAGGGGAGAAGGCAGAAGGGTGAGCACAGGAGGAGGAATCATTTTGGTAAAGTCATGAAAGGAGGCGAGAGAGAGCAGGAAGGAGAGCAGGAGCTATCGTGGATGTGGGGCATGAAGAGGAAGGGAGGAAGAAATGAGGTTCCCCTCACCTTTCAACTTAACTCTGTAGGCGAATGTAGACTGAAACACTCCTGCTCCTCGCTGCAGCACCTGCTCGACAACCCCGAGCTGCTTCTTCCCCTTTCTCCCCTCCTCGTCCTCCTCCTCCCCCAGGTGGACGGGCTGACCGGCCGTGACCGGCATGTCCTCGCATGACGTCGCTACGACTACGAGCCCAGTGCTGGCAACTATCTCTGCATACTGGAGCTTCTTGCGGAGGAGGACGAGGTCGCTCCTCAGCCCCTCCATCCTCCTCGACACGACCTCAAGAAGCGCGCTGTTCGACTTGCTGAAGGCTCGCAGCAGGAGCTCCTGCGCCCCAACCTCCTCCCGCAACTTTGTCACGGGGAGGAGGGAGGAGGTCAGAGCCCGCACGGCTTCCTCCTCCAGCAGCCTCCCGTGCTCGTCCCAGTCGCCCGATGGGCCGGCGGGTTCGAGGGGGAGGAGGAGCTGGCTGACGGTCTCTACGAAGAACTCCAGGAGGAAGGAGACTAAACCTTGCTTCAGCTCCTTCCTCAGCCCAGTGCTCTGTTCCAACCGCGTGACGATGGCAGAAACTGAGCTCTTCCTCCTCTCAAACTCGCGCGACAGCCGACGGATCTCCTCCTCCACGGCCTGCTTGTCATGGGCCATGACGTGCCGCAAGATATTTTCCACAGGATGACCCACGAGCTTGCTCAGGCTCTTGATCCCTTCCTCATTCACCGCCTGCGCGTACGATCGCTGTATCTTCCAGCTCTCTATCCTCTCCTGCAGCAGAGCTCCCCTCCCGAACCTGCTGAAGTCCCTTGCTCCCACTTTCCGCGCGTACTTTTTCAGGTGCTCGTACAGCGCCAGCCCGCGGTGGAAGGAGGAGGAGAGATGCGCTAGCGATAGCTCCATCGCTTCCACGTCCTCCTCCTTCATCTGCTCCTCCTCTACCTGCAGCCGTGCAGCATGCGTCCAGTGCGCCGGAAGGAGCGCGCGCATGGCCGTCCTGAGCTGATCGCTCAGCGGCTGGCTTGCTAGGCTCAAATGTCTGACCGCAAGCTCCTCCCTCAGTTTGAAGACCTGCACGAAGCGCGCTCCTCTCCCTCCTCCCTCCTCCGGCCTCCCCCTCTCCTCTAGCATGCTCTCTCCCCAACAGACCACGTTCCCCCGCATGTCGGAGGAGACGAGTAGCCTCCCATTCACCTCGCTGAACTTCAAGGCGCACACATGCCCCTCATGCGCATCAAGAACTTCCAGCAACCTCCACCGTTGGTCTATCCCCCCCTCCTCCCTCGAGGACGGACTCCACAGCTTCACCCTCCTGTCGTGCCCGCCGGACGCCAGGAGCGGAAGGGATCGCCTGGTGCTGCGGAGGTCGAGGCAGGAAATCGCCTCCGAGTGGGAGAGAGAATTTCTCTCGCAGAAGACGTTCTTGTCGTCTACAAGAGTCTGATGGAGCAACCAGTACGAGACATGCCCGGCCTTGGAGTCTTCTTTCTCCTTCCCCTCCCCCTCCCCTTCTCCATCATCTCCTCTCTCCTCCTCCTCCTCCTCCTCCTCTCTCCCCTCCTTCCCAGTTGTACGCAGCGAGTCGATAGCCTGGAAATGACTTGTACCGTCGTCGACGAACACAACCCTCGCGCTTTTGAGCTCCAGCCTCACATCATGGTACCTGGAGGCATGTAAGTGCGAGCACAACAACATGCAACGAGACAGTTTGCTCCTCTTGTCCCTTGCCATCTCAAGCAGCTCCGCAACCTGCAGCTCGTCACTCCCGCGCATCCCCGGCAGCTTCGAGTCACCTGCATCTCTGCGCTGACCTTAGGGACGTCGAGCCCGTCCTCGTGGCTGCAGCGCATGTTAAATAACGAGAGGGGGGCTGGGGAGGCAACCTGGTCAGGGGGGAGGGGAGGAAGGCAACGTCGACGACAACATCCTTGTCGTTTACCTCCACCATCTTCACGTGAAACTTCGCCTCCTCGACGTCCAGGAGGAGAGCAATGTTCCTCCTCAGCCCGCCAACAAGGAGCAGGAGGTTGTCGCGCATGTGCGGGTCCTCCTGCCAGGTGTTTTCCAGGACTAGCCGCACTGCCGCCCTCTTGTCGTAGCCCAGCACAGTCGGCCCATGCACCGCAGGAGCTCCCTTGCCTCCTGACGGAGCCGCTGCCATGCTGACAAGCCTCCACAGCTTGACGGTCCTGTCCGCCGACGCTGTGGCGACCATGGGTGGGTTCGAAGGGACGGCCTCGTCCTCTATGAATGCGATGCTCGTCACCCTTTCCTGGTGCCCCTTCTCCATGTTCTTCACTCCCTCCTCCACCCGCTTCCACTCCTCCTCCTCCTTCTTCCACACCTGCACGCTGCTTCCCTTCCCTGTGCAAACAACGAGCCTCCCGTCCCTGCTCATGGCGCATGCTAGCGCCCTCGCCTTCACTTGCTCTTGCATCCTTGTATTGATCCCCTACCCCGCACTTCCTCCTATGACCTCCTGCTCCTGCTCCTGCTCCTGCTCCTGCTCCTGCTCCTGCTCCTGCTCCTGCTCCTGCTCTGCGTCATGATACCGCCCTCACATTTTCCCTCCCTTTCGCCCTTGGCAGTTTTTCACTGCCCCCCCTCCCCCTCCCCTACTGCTCCAGTGCCAGCCCAGGCAACCCGTTCCGGACTGCGTCCTCCTCCTCATCTCTCTCCTCTCCCTTCCCTTCCTCCTTGGCTCCTCCTCTACCGCTCTCTCCCATGGCGGGAGGGAGGAAGAAGTCAAAGAAGCGCCTGCCCATAGCAATGACGCTCTTCGTTCCCTTCATTGCTTTCGCCATGCCGGCGGCTCTGTCACATCCTTCATGCCCGCTGGCCAAGAAAGGCGACGCAGGCTCAGCATTGCAGACAGCCGAGATGCTGCGAGTGCAGGGAGACGAAGGAGGGGCGTATCGATGCTACTGGGCGGCGGCGGAGTGGAGGGAGGATTGCGATCCTGGGCTGTGGGAGATGGTGGCTGGCATGGCAGAGAGGACAGCGGGCAAGGGACCAGCACAGGATGGTTACCTCCCCTGCTATCAGCTCGGCCGAGCTGCTTCCTGCCATGCTGGGGCGATGGATGCTCGGCTGGCCAGACACGTAGCGCATGCTGAGTGCTACAGGAAGGTGGGCAATATGACCGGGGCCGCGCGCGCGCTGCGGGCGATGCTCGACGACGACCTCGTGAGGAGGGAGGATCCCGGATCTTGCTTGCATGCTGCTAACCAGGTCGCCGAGCTCGCCATGTCAGGAGCAGTGCCATGGCAGTTCGCGGAGGAAAGCTTCGAGATGCTGCACAAAGGATGGAGCGGGAACGGTTACTCGCTCCGCAGCTTCGGGCTGATCAAGACGCAGGTCAACCGGGTGGAGGAAGCGCTCAGCCTCTTCCAGCAGTCCCTAAAGCTCCTCCCCGACCACTACACGCACAGTCAGGCCCTCGTCGCATGCAACCAGCTGAAGCGCTTCGATGAGGCTCTAGAGCACGCGAGGGCCTGCATTGACCTGCAGCCCGGCAACCCGGAGTACCTCAGGAACTTCGGCTCTGCTCTCGTCAAGCTGGGCAGGTTCGAGGAAGCCCTGCCTCACCTCCTTCGCGCGCAGAAGCTCGTCCCCTCCGACCACTCCGTGTACATCGAGATCGGCTTCGCTCACATGGGAGTCGGGAGGCTGGAGGAGGCAGCAGAGATGATGGAGAGAGGTGAGGGTGGGGACGATGAGAAGAGGAGGCAGAGAAAGGGCAGCAGCAGCAGCAGAATCAGTAGCAGAATCAGCAGCAGCAGCAGCAGCAGCAGCAGTATCAGCATCAGCATCAGAAGCAGTATCAGCAGCAGCATCAGCAGTATCAGTATCAGCAGCAGTATCAGCAGCAGTATCAGCAGCAGCAGCAGCAGCAGCAGTATCAGCATCAGCAGCAGCAGCAGCAGCAGTATCAGGACAACATTGACGGTAGTGATGGGAAGGTATCGAACTGGGGGCACCGAACTTCCGCCTTTGGCTGTTTGTCGCCTCGGCGTATACCAAGGCAAATCTTCACCACAAGGCGAGGAGAGCGCACTTGAAAGCAGTCAAAGCTTGCAAGAGAGAATCCAAGGGGATGACGAAGGAGGAACGAAAGCAAGAATGCCTGCTCGCGCTGGGGAGATACCTAGGTGATGTACAGAGCTCTTCTCATCCTCAATGCAGATTGTTCCTCCCTACCACTCTGGGCTGACATTCATGCTCGCTTGCAGAGAGCTTGCAGAGGGACTGCGACTGGTCCAAGTGGGAGCAGTACGCTCAGATTGAGGATCAGTTGTTGAGCAGGACTGCCATGGAGAGGGTCCTGACGCCTTTTCAAGTTGGTCTAGCCTCGCCTCAGCGTCCTGCGGCCTGACTGGATAGAGCAGGTCAACAAGGGCCCTTTCTCCCTGCACGCCCTCCGGAACTTGACGCAAGTGAATTGCTGAGGTCTGCAGGCCACCCGACTGATCCCTTCCTCTCACTGCAGAGGGAAGCGCAGAAGAAAATACCGGAGATCGCTACTCCCCTCCCCCTCCCGCCTCCCCTCCTATCCCCCCTCCGCGTCGGCATGTTGTGGACGGGCACCTACGACTCTGAGTTTGCCAACAACGTCGTCTCCGTGCTCGAGATGGATCCGGTACATTCCGAACTCACTCCCTGCTCGCCTTCCCCAGCTCGTTCAGCTGAGCGCTTCCGTCAGATCCTACGTGCCATCGAGACGAACCGGCTGCAGCTGTTCTGGTTTTCCATCAACGACCATGAAAGCGACGGCATTGGCCATTACAAGTCCAAGGAGCGGATCCGGTCTGACATCGCCCTGTGCTCCCAACCCCCCTGACCTCCCTCAGCAAGCTGCTCGGCGACAGGTTCCTCGTCCTCCACACCGAGGTCCAGCGCCCCGACGATGGGGCCAAGCACGAAGGGGTCGACTGCGCGTCTTCCATCCGCAAGTTCAACCTCCACATGCTCTTTAACCTCCCCGGATGGCTCAACGAGGCCACCATGTCGGTCAGCGCTGCCATCCCTTGCGCCCTTCAGGTGAGGTGGGACCGGCCCGTCTTTCCCCTCACTCTCGCCCTCATCAGGTTGCCTTCAAAGGATACGCAGGTACCCTAGGAGCCTCCTACGTGCAGGTGAGGAGAATGACTTTCCTTGTTGATCCTGCTGCTGATACTACGTCTCCCTCGTTCCTTCTCTCCCTCACCACCTCCCCTCTCTCTGCTCCTACCATGCTCTCTTTCCTGACTTCGTTCTCCTCCCTGTTCTTTCCCCCCTCCTGGCCCTGCGTCTCTGCGCTCTCAGCACCTCCTGACCGACAGGATCTCGAGCCCTCCGGAACTCTCACACGGCTACACGGAGAAGCTGGTGTACATGCCGCACTCCTTCTACCCTGTCGGCAACTTGCAGACGTACAGGAGAGACAGCCGGGCGGGGATCGCTGTCGACCGACCGCATCAGCTGCGAGAGGAGCTTGGACTTCCTGCGCAGGGAGCCTTAGTGTTCGGAGCTTTCAACGACCACTACAAGATCGACCCGCAGCTGTTCCGGATGTGGATGCGCCTGCTGCGCAGCTCCAACGGCAGCGTCATCTGGACGATCAGGCACGGAGGGGAGGCGATTCTACAGAAGGAGGCGGTGAAGGAGGGGATAGACCCCGCCAGGCTGGTCATTGCAGAGCCCTTCCCCAAGGTGGAGCACCTAGCCATCAAGGGGTACAGCGACGTGTTTCTTGACACGCATCTCTACAACGGCCACAGCACAACCTCCGACATGCTCTGGGCTCAGGTAGCTCTCCTGACCGCTTCTTCCTTCCCGCCTCATCCGCTTGCTCCCTCCCAGGTGCCTGTCGTGACACTACCCGGCGAGAAGATGGCTGCAAGGACTGCTGCAGGAATCATGGCCGCGGCGAACGCCGCCATCGGCATCGCGCGCAACCATGACGATTACTTTGAGCTGAGCAAGAGGCTAGCACAAGTTGCTCAAAGGCTAAGGGGAGCAGGTGAGATTCTACATAGAGAGCAGCTGTCCAACACGAAACTATTTAACATGAACCTTTTCGCCGACAACCTACTAAGGTAATGCTGTCTTGTTGTCTCCGATGCGGGGCATTGAAACCTTGCAGGTGCATGAGGATCATCGTCGATGCGCATGCATCGTACCCGGAGAGGAAATTTAACCTTGTTGTTGCATCTGAATGAACTTCAAGCGTTCTTCTCTTTCAAGCCCGCTTCGCCTTCAAGAAACACGCCATGAGCTCCTGAAACTCCTTCTTGCAGACATCCTTGTCGACGAGCTTCTGTGCCTGGATGCAGCATCTACCATACACAAGAGCCGCTTCGCCGCATGCCTTCATCCTCCTCCCCATCTCCCTCCCTTCCCTCACACCGCGACCGCCGTTCGCCATGTCCGATGCACGGGCCCCCCTCAGCGAAATTTTGAAGGCATCACCGTGCCAACATCAAGAGATTTTAAAACATTTTTCGTTTTAAAAAGCTATTTTGTTTACAATAGAACTAACGGGTAGTTTTAATTTAAATTATTTTATTTTTAAACAGCCCCGCTGGCTACAAATGTAAGTTTTTTATATCTAATTTAGGGAGAAATATCTATTTTGAGAAATGAGATCTATTTATACAGGCACAAATGGGAGGATGACTATTAGTCGATGTCTATGAAACCGTACCAGTATCTCAGTTTAAAAACAATACAAGTAATCCATTTATAATCAGATGCGCACTTTGGTGTGGGGGGGGTGGGGGTGGGGGTGGGGGTGGGGGTAGACTTGTTCTGCATGGGGTGGGCACCCTATTTTAATTGCTGACGGGGGTGGTAGGGTGGGCATGAGAGTGGCGGGGTTTGTAGGAATACAGCAAGGAAAGATTCGCAGAGGGTGGGGTAGGGAACAAAAGGCGCAGGGGAAATAACATGGGGTGGGTGTAGGGGTTTCAACGAGCAATACTAGAAACGGGGTGGTATTCAATGAAATGATTGGTAAATGTGTGGGGGTGGGTGTGAGTACCGCCCCTTCACAGCACACCACCGGTGGTACTCGAACTACCACCCCCTACAAATGGGCTTCATTTCCCACACCCCTCCTCGTTCCTCGCAGCCTCTTCCAGGTTTCCATGCCCTCGATGCACTGCGTGACGATCGCGTCCTTCCCCTTCATTGCTCGTGCGTGCCATCTGTACTCCTCTGATTTTCCTCCTTCCTTCTCTTTTCGATGATTTTTGAGCTCCTGTCGCCTTCGTTTCCCCCTCCCACAGTGCCAAAACATGTATTGGTTGTATAGCATCAAATTGCAGTGGAGCAGGATTTTCAACCAAATCCTGTTGCTATGGTATGAACTTCCTCAGTGAACTCGATCTCGCGACATGTATCATGATGTTGAGAAATATCGTGAAGTGAAGTCTACAAAATCACTCACAGGTGGTTGAAAGAATCCAATTAACACGTTTTGTAGATATGAATTTCCGAGTACTCCCTGCCCTGTGTCTCTTCCTGACCATCGTCTCCCTTGCCTACGGCTTCATCCAGCCGGTCAATCTCGGTGATCATCGCCCTTTGACGCATACTTCCTGGTGTTCTAATCGCCTTTCAGCCCTCCGCTCATCCCAAGCAGCCATCACACCTCAAGTCAACGCCAAAATGTAGAAGATGAATCTTGCCTCCTGATTCTTGTCTGATTCATCTGTTGCAGTTCCAGTGTACAGCTTAGAGCAAAGCCAGACGAAGATGATGACGAATTGCTGGAGGTGAGAAGTTACGGCGATGTCCTTCCGAGTTGTTGGCTGATTTGTTGAAAGGAATGCATGCTTGTAATGAAGCCATGCGATCCCAAGGTCACCACCGATGATGATGAATGCATTGATGAGAAGGTTCGTGCTTTTTTGAATGTGTGATCAAATTTATCTTACACAAACCTACCAGGCACTCGAAACTTGCCAAGCGGCCAGCGAGGCAGCAGTACGGGCTAAGCTTGCAAACCTTGCGGCGAAAGATGATAAGGAAGACAGAGATCTCGCTGAAGGATCCTATTGATCGACAATTCCTAAATCTGCCACTCTTTGTGCATATTCTCTTTCTGAAAATCCTTAAAAACAACTTGCTTTATTCCAGTCTGTCGTTACTTACTGCGTGTGATACCACACCTCACCTGATCTTTAATCAGGTTCCAAGAAGAACGACATTGCAATGGCTACGTCATCTCAACGTCTTTGTTTCTTACCTGAGTTGTCATCTCCATCTTCAGTTGCATCATTGCTCCAGATCTCCTCTTGTCTCACTTTCGGAAGTCTTCACAGAGCTTTCACCAGGTGACATCTGCCAAACTACCATAGGCCATAGGGGTCCATGCCTGGGAAACTGAGGGTGGGGGTACTGAACTTGATCATGAGGCGGAGTTGAAGGGGGTAGGTAGGAGGTCACTGTGGACCCCAACGGACCCCGGTGTGCATGTCGTGGAGACACTGGTAAAAAGTGGGTGGGGGTATATCATGGAGGGGTGTAAATATCGAATTAGATATGGTATTGATACGGGTAGGTTGTCAGGAAAGGCAGTCCCGGGGGTGGGGTTAGTAAACTTGGAGGTACGGTAGCGAATGGGTTTAGTAGGGGGAGGGGGTACTTCCCTGGGATGGTGGGGGGTATAAGATTTGACTGAGAGGTTGATGGGTAGGGTCCTTCCAATAATTTGTTGGAACGGAAAATGCGTAGGATGGGAGACGAGGAGGGGAGCAAGGAGGAGAATAGGAGCAGAAATGAGAAGAACATCTTGAGAGTAGACCGGAAATGTTGGATATGAAAAGATGCCAGAAGATATAAAAAGTTTCAGCGATTTAGTAGGCAAAGGTACAGTATTGCAGGTTTTGAGAAGAGCTTGATGAGAAATGAACTCAGGCGATATCCATGCGTATAGTGTCAAATTATCTTATCACCAATGCCGTGATGAGCATCATGTGTCAGAAATTTCTTGTCGCTTGTTGATCAAGTGTTGCCCATTAGAATAGTTCTGTCACCATAGTTTAGAAATTAACACCATAGTCAGAAATGGCTCATCAATCTTTCTGGGGACTTGCTTTGTTCCATCAAAAACACTTACAAGAGCTTGCAGAACCAATACTACTCAACAGACAGAGCAAGGAAACCAGGAGTCCCCTTGTCTTTGGGGGGTCAAACAGGTGGGAACATTGAAAACCTTCCACTCCCAGATGGGAGGACAAGAATCAAAGTCTAGATACGACCAAGAGGGGAGCTCGGGGCTCGGGTCGCTGTGCGTGAGGACGGAGATGCTGGATCATTGCAGATCAGGCTCGCACGGCAACTCGGATAGGTCGAAGCATCCTTCAGGGACCGAGAAGTTGATTGCTTCCTTCGGCTCCCCGCTGCATGCTGCGGCTGTGAGAGCATCTCACTGCTGTGCGGGGAGTTGCATGCTCATTGCTGTCTTGGATGCAGGTGATAGGCTATCCTTCTGACATCAACATGCTGTACGAAGCTGGACATGACCTGGAGCGCCGAGACGCTGCCGGCAGAACAGCGTGAGGGCGGAGAGGAGGGTGAAGAGAAGGAGAAGGTTCAATTGATGTGCTGCATCAGATGCCACTTGGCGGCTTCATCGGGAAAACTTCAGAACCTGCAGGCAACTCGGTGTTGTGCGGGAGAGGAGGCGTTGTGAGGTTGAAGTTGCAGATGCTAGTTCACCTCGGCGCGGACTTGCAAGCCAAGGATCTCAAGGGGGATACACCTTTGCAGAGAGCGACAGTAGCCAACCAGAGCAAGGTAGAATGAAGGCGCCGCCCTGTGCGTCCGCCAAGTATGCCGCAGGTTGTGCAGTATATCAAATGGATGATATGGAGCCAGCAAGACAAGTTCTCTAGGGAGTCTGACAGCACCCTGCCCTTGTCAAGAGGGACGGGAAAGTTCTTGACAGATGTCAGGTTGAACTTGCTCGTTCCCCTGTGCTGAGATTGCGCTGACTGCGAGCTTAACAGCATAACAAGCGTCAAGCATGAAGCCCACGTCACTTGCGTGCCCCCGCTGAGGTAGGCTGAACCTTTGTCTTGCTCTCCGCCAGATTCACACAGTCTGCTACACACCAACAGCCCCAACGATCAGTCGATGGAGCAAGGAGGTGGAGCAGGTGGGTCCGACACAAAGAGGCATCGGCAGAGGAACTGACGACGGAAGGCAGATCACTGGTTGAGCAAGGAGAAGTCGATCAGACCGTCGCTGATGAGGATGAGGGAGGGAGGGGCCGGGAGCATGAGCCAGACTTACTCGATGTGAACTAGGAGGAGACTGTACTAAAGAATGCATGTTGTAAACGTTTCAAACTAAGTCGGAGGTAGGAGAAGGAGGAGGGAGGTGCTGAGGAGTGGGGGTTGTGTACTTGAAAAGAGCGAGGGGAGCAGAAGGGGGAGCGAGAAGAAGAGGTTTCCTTGCAGGCTTATCAGATCAGATTAGGCCTGCTTCTGCTTGTTGGCCCTGTGTAAGATCGGGTATGCATACAGCAGCATCGCAAGCACGAAGAAATTGTGGATTGACTCAACAGCCGGCCTGGCGTTAAATCCCAGCCTCGTCCCCACGTGAGCAAACAGCAAGCCACCGTACAGGGGCCCTCCCACCCGCGCAATGGCCTGAAACTCCTGTCATGCCTTTCCCATCTCTGACCATCCTGTCTGACATCCCAATTCTCCTCGTACTCTCCCTCCTTGTCTTGTCCTCTACTTCATATTACGTCTTTCTCTACGGCTGACGAGTCGCCCATCCAAACATCGTGTAGTTGCTGCTTAAAACAATCCTCCTCCTCCTCCTCCCCTCCCCCCCCCCCCAACG